ATCTGCTGCCAGAGTGCAATAAAAAAGACAAAATTAATAGAATCAAACCCTTTTCTTTTTTTTGCATTTTAGTAGAGTATAAAAAGAAATGCCTTTAAAATAGGATGCAAGCAACACTAGTTTCTTAACCTGAATTGATAATAGACTATAATCAATTTAAACAGAACAGATCTTAAAGTTTGCATTCTTATACCATTTTGTACAATAATTATAATGAATAAGTTCAAACAAACTAAAACTTACAGCTGATTAATAACGGTATCTAACTTGAGTTTTTATTATATCAAAAACCTGTTGAAATGCTACTGTTATTTTTACTGTCCCCAAAAAGCGCGTCGGCAGCCTCCAGGAATGCTTCTTTCACAACTTCGCCGTCTTTGAAAGACTTCATGTGTTTCGCAAGAACGTGACTGACACGATAAGATGCTATGGTAGCAGCCTTGCTCTTGTTGTTGGGCCTGGTGAAAATGGACTGCTGTGCATTTAGCTGTCCTTTCAGGTCCCTCACCTTTTGGGAGCGTAGGGCAGAATTAGGAGGGACTTCCGTCTCGTAGCGTTTGTGCACTGTCTCCTAAATTACAGTAGCGTGGCGTGGGGAAAAATGTAAGGGAAGCCCATTTTTTCGGGTTTGGGGGGGGGGGGGGGGTGTCAATAACGTAACCAGATGAGTGATTACAGCGCCCGGTATCATTTTACACACATTTGTATCACACAGATGCAGGACTTGCACACGCCTGTTATCTAACCGACAGGTCCGCACGCACTCTCCAGCCGAAACTCTCTCGTCTTATTCATTTAAGCATTTACTTATTAATTTATGCAGACCCCCCCCCCCCCCCCCCCCCAAATGCAATACCAGCCGCTCAATGCGCAGTGCAGATTCGGTAATGAATAAAAAAGAAGCATTCATTCACAAAGTAAATCAGGAGACCTTTAAAGTTTTACGTTCACATCAAAGTATCAGTAGGCGTGTATGAAACACATGAATTCAAAAACATTTATGTAACATTTGCATGTGATAGTCCACCTTCTCTTCCCTTCCCTTTCTAACACACGGCAAGTGCAGCAACAGTCCTCGTTTCTGTAATTAACTCAGTCCGTAGTCCAAAAGTAACAAAAAAATATAAACAATCTCATCTATTCAGGTGATCGATTGGATGGCAGTGTCCAATCAAATCGCCAGCCGCCAGCCGCCAGCCGCCTCTGAAGGGAAGCCAGAGGCGGCTGGCTTCCCTTGGCCAATCACAGGTTGGCAGGGGCATCACGTGGGCCTCATCTGATTGGTCAATCCTTCAATTTTTTTTCACCAAGGGAAGCCCGATACAGCTGGCCTCCTCTCGCAACAGTGAATGCAATCTACTGTTTCACCATAACATCTAGAGGGCGCAGTTTGTTTCACTCTTTGTAAAATACTCAATGAGAGTGGGGGAGAGACGGGCCGGCAGCAACACACAGCAAAGGAGAATTATCGAAACAAAACAAAGTGTTTTTATTTATTTATTTAAATTATAAGTACAATCCGAAAAAACAGGGGAAGCCTGGCTTCCCTTGGCCTCCGGTAGAAAACGCCACTGCTAAATTACCCTTCTTCGATAAAGCCACGCTCGCATTGCAGATGAGACAGATGGACTTTGAATTGGAATAGATACAAAAATAATTATCCTCCCCACTCGGAGTGAAAATTATATATTTTGGGCTCTTTTGCTTCTGCCATAATTGTGGTCTTGTGTGTGCGGACTGCACAGCAAACTAGTGCCCACTGCCTACCAGCCACGCCCCGATAAATCACAAAGCTTTGATGCGTTCAAGTGCATTATTCTGGCACAGGAAGATTATGTTATAGGACATTAACGATAAAACAGAATATTGTCGTTCTATTTTTAGACACATCTCGCGATCGACTGAAACACAGAGGACTGTTTGTATGATGGGATCACAGACACGCTGCAAACGGTGTCCGCCAAAAGTCGAGTCCAGTGTCTATGTAGTGTCATTTTTATTTGTTATAGTTTGGGAAGATTGAACATCGGTAGGGAGAGTCAGCTAAATCGGTAGGTGGTAGAAACATGTCAAAAGCGGTAGACTACCGCCCAAATCGGTAGGGTTGGCAGGCATCGGACATGTTTTAGTTTTGACATTTTACCACCTCAAGACACTCGTTTTTTTCAGCATGGAACACTAACTCTTTATATTATTTGTTTTAATCCTACCATGTGTCACATTGTGTCAGTCAGTGGCGTTTTCTCCCCCTGTTTTTTCGGATTGTACTTATAATTTAAATAAATAAATAAAAACACTTTGTTTTGTTTCGATAATTCTCCTTTGCTGTGTGTTGCTGCCGGCCCGTCTCTCCCCCACTCTCATTGAGTATTTTACAAAGAGTGAAACAAACAGCGCCCCTCTAGATGTTATGGTGAAACAGTATATTGCATTCACTGTTGCGAGAGGAGGCCAGCTGAATCGGGCTTCCCTTGGTGAAAAAAAATTGAGGGATTGACCAATCAGATGAGGCCCACGTGATGCCCCTGCCAACCTGTGATTGGCCAGGGCCATGCCAAGGGAAGCCAGCCGCCTCTGGCTTCACTTCAGAGACGGCTGGCGGCTGGCGGCTGGCGATTTGATTGGACACTGCCATCCAATCGATCACCTGAATAGATGAGATTGTTTATATTTTTTTGTTACTTTTGGACTACGGACTGAGTTAATTACAGAAACGAGGACTGTTGCTGCACTTGCCGTGTGTTAGAAAGGGAAGGGAAGAGAAGGTGGACTATCACATGCAAATGTTACATAAATGTTTTTGAATTAATGTGTTTCATACACGCCTACTGATACTTTGATGTGAACGTAAAACTTTAAAGGTCTCCTGATTTACTTTGTGAATGAATGCTTCTTTTTTATTCATTACCGAATCTGCACTGCGCATTGAGCGGCTGGTATTGCATTTGGGGGGGGGGGGGGGGTCTGCATAAATTAATAAGTAAATGCTTAAATGAATAAGACGAGAGAGTTTCGGCTGGAGAGTGCGTGCGGACCTGTCGGTTAGATAACAGGCGTGTGCAAGTCCTGCATCTGTGTGATACAAACATGGGCGTCGCAGCCATTATATGAGGGTGGGACAAGTCCCCCCCACTTTTTCAAATGATTAGTTTAGACCCCCCCACTTTTACTATGCGGAAAGTCCGTGAATCGGTCTATCCACTCGCCGCACTTTGTAGAGCGCTGTGTCAGTGCTTCACTATCAAATTAAATCCATTCCACTTGCTTATTGAGAGAATGCCCAAATCAATGAAACTCCGTACCATGTTTTCACTGCTACTTTGTACCAAGGCAGATTCTCACATAGCGCGCGCATGTTCAAGGAGTGTTGTCATAGTTGGACAGCGAGCTCAGATCTGTTGTATGAAGCGATGCCGGTAGCGGAGGTAAGGCACACACACCAAATGTTCAGGAAATGGTTAATACAGCGAAAATCAAAGCTGACGATCTCTTGGTTTGATATGTTTTCTCCCCCAGACAACATGGACATAAGAACATTTTTTTCAAAGAAGAGGAAAGTAAGTCATCAGCTGGTAGCAGTTAATCAGTTAACAGTGATGGCGGCGTCTCACTTCTGGAGAGGAGTTTTGTCTTTATGTCATGATAGAGAGATACAAATACTGAATAGTTTAGATGAGAAAAGGCATCGAAATGCCAGGTTACTAGTATTTATCATGTACACAGGGAACATGAATAACCCGATCTCTCTGTGCTCATGTAAACACCATATCCCCAATATGATCATAACCAGGATAATACTCATAAACGGCTTACTGATGTCCATGTAGAGACGCAGTCAGTGTGTTTTACTGGAGCCTCAGTTCGATAAGAGATTCTTTTCTGAGTTCTTTAACTTAGGTACTCTCTCTCAAAATGGTAATGTGCATTATGTTTTAATTATACTTCTTATCATTCAGAAGCTTTGTGTGTGTGTTTATGTTTTACTGAGTGCTTATAGGCTATTTCCATCCCAGTATTCAGTTAACTATTTATTTTCTGTGCACATTACATAGACTAGCTAATATTCTACCTACTGCTTGGGACTTTGAGTCTTCAAAATGTCCAATGTCACAGACTGGGACTTACTTTAGAGTCAGTTGTATTTACATTCAGTATGACTTGTTATGATTCAATGTGAAAGAGTATACTGCTCAATAAATAATTATCACTTCACCACCTCTCTTGACATCTAGGCACTTGAGAGTGAGTCAGAGGCAGAATACAGGGACAGTGGAGAGAGGTCCATTGCTGAGGTGAGTGATGAAAGGGAAATGACAGTTGAGAGTAAATTGTGATGTGGACTCTCATCCCAGGATTTTAAGGAAATCAGTGGGGATATTGAACAGGAAACATTTCAGTCAAGGGGCATCATATGACCAATATAGACAGAAGAGCAACATTTATTTGAACATTTAAGTCAATGATACCATTCCTAGGTGAACTTAACATCTGTATGGAGTCAGATCAGTCTCAATATTAATAAATGCTCACAGAAGGATTCACAAATGTATTTTGCGATTTATATATAAATGACTCTCCACAACAATATCTCTCAATGCACTCACAAATATTTATTGTTGTATATAAATGTACAAAAAATGGGCATTTAAACTGCTTTTTATTAATTCAAAGACGACTCTGAATTAATAATCAAATATGTTTCCTTTCTTTACTACTGGATGAAATTACAAAATGTACCCATCATTTTCCTCATGCTAGTATAGCCACATAAAAGTATCAAACCACCTGTTAAAATGCACCAGAATACAGGAAATCTATATATTTTTTCACCCCCCGTTAAAAATGTCCCCCCCCACATTCAAGATGCTTCCTACGCCCATGGATACAAATGTGTGTAAAATGATACCGGGCGCTGTAATCACTCATCTGGTTACGTTATTGACCCCCCCCCCCCCCCAACCCAAAAAAATGGGCTTCCCCTAAATTTTTCCCCACGCCACGCTACTGGTGTCAGTTTGTTAGTTCTTTAATATATTTTATCTCCAGGATTTCCGGGACATGTGTTGTCATCACGTAGGCTAAATAGTGGGCTATTAAATCCGTACGATTATCCTATAATTCAACAATAACACCTCATTAGTATTATGCGGATATATTTAAACCCAAGACTCATGTGTTTCCCGACCTGGGAACATATGGGTCTTAGGTTTGAGATTACTACTTTATCTCTGACTAAGTGACAGACTAACAGACAGATACTGCGGAGAAGAGGCGCACGAGGACTGTCATTTATGGATCACGTGGAACTAACAAGGTAAACATGATTTAAAATGTAAATAATAGCAGGTGTGAGCGGAATTATGCATGCTTTGTCCCGGTACTGAGGTAAATTAATTCAATGTCTCTACATAGAAAAAATACAGAATGTATTGCTAGTAATCTATTATGATTAATAGCCTATACGCTTTGCATATTGATGATATCAGATGTCCACTAAATGTATTAAATGATTGTTAATAAATCCTGTATTGGTATAAGGATCTATTATCAAGTGTGTTTCTGTCTGCGTGGTGCCATGTGTGTCAATACACATAGATTAAGTGAACTAATCTGGATTACAGTCAGCACAGCCTGCCGATAACTGCCACACTGTCCTCATGTTGCACTGTGAGTTGGACATGAAATAGAAAACAAAACACAGTGATGGGAGATGTAGATATACAAAGTGTTTTTTAAATAACAAAATTCCAAAATTAATAATGTTGGATGAATCAAATGAGTAACGTGCCAGTTTTGGAATATTAAATAAACAACATGAAATTGCTGTACAATTGTGATGACATACAGTAGGTGTTAAATGTATTTCATTTACCAAACAGGAGGATTTTATTTCTGGAGACCATATTTTGTAACAGAGATATGAAAAACACCTTTTTCTGATTTCTTTCTTTAGAAACTTTAATCCAGAGACCTTCACCCAGGCTGTACTTAATGAGGGAAACTCCACAAGTCATCTTTTAGGACCAAACCTATACTGGAAATAAACTTTTTGGTGACCTGGAGATAGACCTGGAGAGCATGCAGGGGTTGGAGGTTGGTACCAGGCTGCGCTACAGACTGACTCTGGCCTCGGGGATGCTGGAGTGTCTGGGCTTTGCCGGTGTAGTGTTTGGTTTCGCCTCTCTGGTGTTTGTGCTGAAGGAAGATGGCTACTTCAGTCATCTGTGTGTCAGCGTCCCAGGTACCAACGGCACCAAGACCACTACCGGTGAGCTACTCTCGTTCAGGTTTGATCATGGACTGTATAAAAGAAGTAGGCATAGCCTCCAGGTCTGAAAAGTAAAGCCAATGCCAAGTGTCTCAAAACTGAATACATCCCTGATGGCCTAGAATGAATTGAAGTCTATGAGAAAATGACTCAATCAAATGGCTCAGTAAACATTTTTCAGACCAGTTTTCGTTCTAAATCACTAGTTTCAAATCTTCTCTAATACAGCATGTTGTTCAATTTGTAAGTCATGGTCACATAAAGTAAAATAGACAATAAAGCATGTGCTATAGGGCGGATTACTTTGTGACTCGACTATGGCTACAACATCAGAGTAACATTATCGTCGCATTGGAGTATTGTTTCTGAACCCTGAGAAATCTAAACCAGTATAATTTCTTCTCTTTCCGACACATTTTGGTGTCAACCACAAATGTTCTCAAAAATGAATCTTATCCCAAGCTTTCTCAACCTCACAGACTGCACTATGCAGGATGAGCAGTTCTCTCTGGTCTTCACCGTCGCCTCGTTCCTCAACAACTTCATGACTCTAATCAATGGCTACCTCTTCGATCGATTTGGCACCATGGTAACCAGGCTGCTGGCAATGTGAGTTCCTCTTATTTTCCTATTTCCGACCATAAAAGAAATAGAAAAATCTCAAGGTTCCATTTAAAAAAATGACTTCAGCATCAGTTTTCGCAGTGTCAAAATCTCAATATGGCCAATAATTTGCATGTTTATGCAGCTAATGGATATCAGAGCAAAGACATCCTTTTCTGTACGCTAGTCATGGTTTACAGTCCGATTTGCGCGAGAACAGAGCTTTGGGACAAGGTCTATGGCTAATCTCTGTAACATATATAAACATATATCTGCATATGACTGCAGATAAATAGAGAATCATGCTAATAGAAAGCAAAATCGGCACATGATAGCAAATAGGTTCCCAGATTGCATTTCAGCTAATGCGTACTGCCTCTTCTGCAGTCCACTGTTTACTTGCATGTTTACCTGCAATAATGCATGACATCCATGTGGTATACATGCTTAAATTGGTAATACAGTTTGTATTCCAGTTATTTCTACAGTTTACAGTTAATATGAAAAAGGGCCAGTAAGGCTTGCAGAGATAAAAGCAAAGAGTGTCTGGGCAGAGAGATTAGAGTCACCTCATTTGACCCCAAACCCTATTTGACTGCAACATCTAAAAGTATACGATGGTTGAAAAAATATATGCTCTGCCTGTATCCCCCTGTTTTTTGTGGCAGCATATATTTGTGTTAATATGGAAATCTCTCTTTCTTAAAGTTACTGTTTTCCTTAAATGGTAAGGAATGTGGATTTCTACAGTGTTCATACATTGACAATTTAAGTCATTTATTTATCGCTTCCTGTGCAAATAAATGCATATCTTAAAATATGCACTCATATGTGTTGAAGGTTAAATCAGGTAAAAGAGTCCACCGATGAAAAACACGTAGATATAATGTATTTGTTTTGAAACATATTTTAACCCTACCACCTTATTTATTTAATTAATTAATTTCAACCAGATCTCAAACTCATAGAATACGTCATAGTTATATGACCTAATGCCAGTAAGAATAAATGCCAAAATATAATACATCAAAATTAAACAAATGTGAGTTCATAGTGCTGTTAAAATATTTACAATAATTTTTTGTACTTTTCATTTTTCATATTTGTCTTCCTAGATCTTTATACACGACTGGGACCATTCTTGTGGCCTTCTCCAGTGCAGGCAAGTGCACACACACACACACACACACACACACACACACACACACACACACACACACACACACACACACACACACACACACACACACACACACACACACACACACACACACACACACACACACACACACACACACACACACACACAGGGCCGGCCCTTGGCATAGGCAGTATAGGCGAATGCTAAGGGCGTCAACCCATCGGGGGGCGCGGAAAATAAAAAATAAAAAATAAAATAAAAGTTGGAAATTAAAAATATTTTTTTAAATTTCATAACAACACAATTTCCCGATTTTGGATCAACAAAGTACATCTTATTATCTTATACTAACAGAACTACGCCTATATTGCGTACAGCGCCCATAAACTATGGCGCCCCCCAAAAATCAAGTTGAACTGCCCCAGCCCCAGTAAAAACCAGAGGTTTATGTGAAATAGATATTTTTTTTAAATAATGGTTTTAGTGTGCAATTATAGGTTTTAATTTTGTATTTGTGTTAATTTAAAATAAATCAAACTCCCAAAAAACGTATACAGCTTCTGTGTGCTTTTTTATAACATTGGAATTTACTGTGTAAGCGGCCGCGGGGGGGAGAGCTTTCTCCTGAAAGACTGAGAGGCTCTGATAACCTCAGCTCAGTGAGGTAAAGGCACACCTTGATGTGATCATTATAGTTATAAAAAAATAAGAGAATAGATGAAAAACAGGTATAGAATACTATATGACAGTAAAAAAAGTTGTTATTAATAAACAAGAATACAGTTTAAAAGGGGAGTGATTTGTAAAATATCCATAAAGAAATAGTAAATCTGTTTACAGTTCTGTTTCATATTGATGTTGAGAGATGTATCCATAGATCTCTTCATGTTGCTCTCAAAGTGCAACAGATTGATGCTTTTAACTTCAATATTAAAAAAAAAAAATCTTCTGGAAACCACTTGGAAATGAGAAACAACTGAGGAAAAAACATGTTTTAGTGTTAGGTTTTGGTGTAAAAAGGTATGAGAACCCCAACCCCATACCCCTGTATCGCCTGTGTCTGTTAGCACTGAAGTTAGCTTGTCTAATAGCTAGTTAGCTTGATAGCTATTATCAGGCCCGCCCCTCCCTACACGCAGATCACGCAGACTGCGTGGGGCCTCACCTTGCGGAGGGTGCCTCATCTGAAGCGCAAATGCGGCGTACCTTTATGCGCTTATACGCGGTTACGTAACGTCCACAAGGTTCCGTCGCGTGCTTCAACGGAGACGCTTCCCATTCACTTTGAATGGGGTGATGGCAAGCTTTGCCGAACTGCATTGTGGTTCCGTCGCGTCGCTTTGCCTCCGTTGCTCGCGCTGAAAGTTGAGAAAAGTTCAACTTTTCAAGCGCCGACGGAAGCGCCAGCCAATCAAATCATATGCCAGTACAAGTGCTAGCCAATCAAACCGTGTGCTCGTGTGTCCGGGGCGGGAGATTAATGTGATTGGTTGTTGGTCGTGCGCCAGACACGCCCACCGGCAAGCTTCAACGCGACGGAACCGTGTGGACGTACCGTTACGGAGCTTACACACGGCGGTGTGCGTTGAAGCTTGCCAGCGGTGTGTCTGACGCTCGACCAACAACCAATCACATGAATCACAATGCAGTTCGGCGAAGCGTGACGTCACCCCATTCAAAGTGAATGGGCAGAAGCGTTGAAGCTTCAACGCACGCCGCCGTGTGTAAGCTCCATTACTGTAAGCGCACCACAGTTACACCGCTGCGAGGCTCCGGCGCGGGCTCCACTACCCCCCCCCCCCCCATCGACGCTCGCGACACAGAGGGCCTCATCACATAACTTTGCGTGGAGCCACAACTTGGCCAGGGGCGGACCTGGCTATTATACCTGGTTTCAGTAGCATCGATCTGGACAAAACATTTAAAAATACATTTTAATTTAGGAAAAGATAGAATATGGAATTACACACTGCCAGTTGTGAAGATACACCTGTACAAATGGTATAATTTCTTAACTTTTTAGTGAAGTTTGTTTCCTCTGTCATGTAGCATATTCAGAGCTGCTTTATCCTGCCTTGTCGTGTATCGCTGTGGGAGGAATTCTACTCCTTCTAACCAACATGCAGGTGAGTTCTGAGATCATGTAGAAACAGGCCTTTAAACTCTCCAGTAACCATTACTATGCATTTTGTATTGCTGAATTATCTTTGTGTCCGTTAGGTGGGAAACCTGTTCTCTTCTCATCGCTCCACCATCATCACCCTCTACAACGGAGCCTTTGACTCTTCTTCTGCTGTGTTTCTGATCATCAAGGTACAAGGGAAGCCCCTATATTATTATTTCCGTATAAGGGCCATTATAGGTCAAACAAATTCAATACAAATATTGCCCTTAATATGGGGGTCATGAAAGGAAATAAACCACTGAAGTTTTTATATTAAGGTAGTACATTTACAAGAAGAAACATGAACTTCTCTGTGATCAAAGTTATAAATTAGCAAAAAAGAACAAGTACATTGATTACTTCACAGCAAATGGCAGTGCTTGAGGTGGGGTGAGCTTAATCTACCTTGCAAGTGATGCAGTTTTTAAAAAGAAAAATGTCTCTTAACATTTTTATCTCTAAAATGTCAATCTTTATCCTCAACTATTTTATTGGGATAATACCCTGCCTTTTAAATGTTTTCAATGCCGTATCATTCACATTTCAGATAGATAGTTTCCATTTGGTATCTTTCAATGGAATCTGTCTCGATTTGTTCAATCCCCTGCAAAATGTCCTCTGCTTTCCAGGTTCTGCATGAGCAGGGAATCTCTCTGCGCTCCTCCCTCCTTGTCTTGTCCTCCTGCAGCGTCATCCACCTGCTGAGGACCTTCCTGCTGATGCCCAAAACCCACATCCCCTACCCTCTGCCGCAACACTTCACCTACGGGTACGAACATCAGCTTGTCTTTGAAGCAGCTATACTGTTTCATGGATAGGACATGGAATAAACATTCCCTTTTTTCTCTATATAGATTGAATTGCAGGAAGGACAACACCTACAATGTGGAGCAGTTTGAGAGGATGAAAGACGGTGGCGTGATAGCATCACAGGAGTCTCCAGCTGAACCTGAGGACCAAGCCCAGGCCCAAGACTCAGAAAATGGTACTCAGCCTTATTTTTGCCACATTTTCAGGAGTGGCTGTAGCTGTTCAATAAAGCTTCACACAGATCATTACATTTTAAACATTTCAAACTTTTTTTCTTTAAAAAAAATGGCCTTCACAAAAATAATGATTGATCTAGGTTTAAATAGAGAACATATGACAAATTACCCAACCAACGTTTTTATCATCAATACATCTCCCTATTACTGTTTTATTTTATAATCTTTTTGCCAAATATTATCTATTTTCAAATGGAATCCACAATTGTTTGGATCACAGGGCTTTCCTAATTGTATCTGCAGATTTGATAAAGAATAGCTGCAAATCCTCTCATTTGACAAGCGTCTGTAATACCAGGGAATATTTGACCACTTTGCTTAAAAATGTCTGAATCACCGAATCAGTTATCAAAATAGTTGCTGATACATTTTCTGTAGATTTAGTTATTGATTATTCAACCAATCATTGCATCTATAACAAACATTTTCTGTACTTTCAACTGGCACGGAGTGAATGAGATGATTTATGATTTTGAATTTAGAGCTAAACTATTCCTTTAATCGGGGCCGTAACAAAACTTTATTTTATTTAAACATTTCAAGTGGAAATGAGTTCATGCATTTAATCTAAGATAAAATGTCATTAATCTCAATGAAAATTATTGTGCCATGGATAACTAAAAGAAGTTAAAGAAAAAAACCCAAGTGTATAAAAATTGATAGTATACTCATAGCAGTGCCTAATACAATCGCAAAAGAGTAAGATACATTATGGGAAACAAGTTCAATAGAAAGAGTTATATTTGACATGATATTGATACTGTCAGTGTCCTTTAGAAGGTGGAGGAGCAATACAGTTTCAACTTTAAAGCGGTTTTCATTGTTTTGTCGATTCCTTTTTTACAACTTTTACGTGTTTAGTGGCGAGTTTCCGGAGCTGTGTTCTGTCCTGGTTCTTCCTGTGGCACTTGTTGTGGTTATCCATAATGCAGCTGAGGCACTACCTCTTCATCGGCACGCTCAACCCCATGCTCAACCGGCTGGCCGAGAATGACCCTGACCTGGGTAACTCATTTAAAAAACGTTACTTGATTTAAAGGTCTCCTATCATGCAAAATGCACTTTTTGATGTATTTTATACATAAATGTGTGTCCCCGGTGTGTCGGGGAACTCACAAAGTGTCAGAAAACAAAACCCTCTCTCTTTTCCTCCGTACCTACATCTCTAAAAACGGGGGTACAACAGAGCTGATCCAGATTTGCGTCCGATAGGACGCGATATAAGCATCGCTAACACTCAGAGCTAACCTGTACTGGAGAGAGCATGATATGGCATTGAATTCTCCTGCAAAAGCCCCCCCCCCCCCCCCTATTTTCTTTTTTAATGTACGGACCCAGAATCAGCACTTCTCTAACAGGGCTGAAATAGAGGGGTATTAGGCATGGCTACAATGGGTGATCTGTTTGGTATTTTGAGCAATACACTTCATAGACATGTTTTTTTGTATTTGTATATAACTGAGACTGATAATATATGCCTAAAAATAGTATAATAGGAGACCTTTAAAGCTTTCTCTTCTTCCTCTTATTTACCTTTGTCTTATTATGAGCCAAACCCAACTTGTTTTCTTCTTCTTTCTCCCTGTTTCCTCAGTGAGTCAGTACACCAATGCGTTTGCCATCACCCAGCTGTTTGGAGTGCTGTGTGCTCCCTGGAACGGACTCCTCATGGACAGACACAAGGGAAAGCCTCTGGCTCCAGGTACATCCCTATCTGCTCTTATAACTGTGTGTGTGTTTGTGTGTTTTGTGCAACAGAACAACTTCATTCATTTCTTGTTGTAGGAGAAACAGCGCTGGAGGCCGACCTGCGCTCCTCCTCCCTGTCTCTGCTCCTGACCTCCGTGCAGTGCCTGCTCTTCTCTCTGTGCGCCTCCTTTCCTCTCCTCCCCCTGCAGTACATCACCTTTGTTCTGCAAGTCATCAATCGCTCCTTCCTCTACGGCGGAAATGCAGCGTTCATTAGCATAGCGTGAGTAGCAATTACACCAGAAGTTGGACTTAGTTCTTGTACTTAAGTTAAAGTAGAAGTACCAGAGTGTAGTAATACTCTGTTAAAAGTAAAAGTACTGCAATCAAAATGTTACTCAAGTAAAATTAAAAAAGTATAAGCATCAAAATATACTTAAAGTACCAAAAGTAAAAGTACTAACTATGCATATTGGTCCATTTCAGAATAATATATATGATTTGTTTCGATTATAATTATTGATGCATTAAATTGTTATAAAAGCTGGTAAAGGTGCAGCTAGTTTGAATTACTTTGTAGGATAGCTTGCAAGTTTTATTCCAGGCGAAAGTCAGATTTAAGTGTTGATAATATTTCACATTATTAATCAAAATCTGCAAAGTAACTAAAGCTACAAAATAAATGTAGTGGAGTAAATGTACATGATTTACCTCTGAATTGAAGTTGAGTAGAAGTACAAAGTAGCATTACATGGAAATACTCAAGTACTGTAAAGTACAAGTATCTCAAAATTGTATTTAACCAGTACTTTAGTAAATGTACTTAGTTACTTCCCAACTCTGAATTACACACATACAGAGAAGATGGACAAAATACAAGAAACACCTCACCACACAATCATCCAGAAAGACCAATTTGGTTAAGGCCATGTGGTTCTTCAGATACCAACTTGCTATCGTCAAAGTCGTTTAGTCATTACCTTCCACTTTTCACTGAAATAACAACAACGGAAAATTGCCTCCAAGCTGAGCTAAGGTTGCTCATTCACTTACGAAGCCAGCTTAATGGCTCCGGTGCCTTGCTCAAGGGCACCACGGCAGGGCCCAGGAGGTGAACTGGGACCTCTCCAAGTAGCAGTCCACACTCCATATTTAGGTCTGGTCGGGGACTTTAACCGACGACCCTACGGCTCACAGTCCAAGCCCCTCCTGACTGAGCCACTGCCGGACGTGATGCGCAGCCATGCGACTATAATGTAGTTTGTTTATAGCCTAACGTTGTTTTTTAATTTCAGCCAATTGCAAAATGGTGTTGAGATTATCCTGCTGAAATAATCTTAAAAGTATGATTAACGTATGTGGGCCACAAAGCTTATGTTGTGCAATATACCGAAATCCAATGGGGGAATATCATTGCTTTTTGATGCTAACATCTGCACCACTCTATTAAATGAAATCCTGATAAGCTTCACTACAGTTTGAGCCACTGACTACAGTCCTTCCCACAGACTAAGAGCTGCACATGTTTTGGTTTAGCATATGTGCTAAAATAGCATGTTTCTTTGTGTCAGTTTTCCAGCGTGTCACTTCGGGAAGCTGTACGGCCTGCTGATGGCCCTTTCTGCTATCATCTCCCTGCTGCAGTACCCCTGCTTCGCCCTGGTCAAAGGAGCTCTGCACGGAGACCCCTTCTTGGTAGGTGCTCAAGAAGTAACTTTGCAGAAGAAGTGCCGATGGAATATCAAATCTTCGTCGGTGGCCACATAGTCAGCAGTGACATACAGTATCAAGTGTAGTGAAATATTGTGACTGACCTTTGACTAATGGATGTTGTGTTACAGGTGGACGCTGCTCTCAGCCTCCTCAGTTTGCTGGTGTTCATACATCCTCTCTACGTATTCATCCACTGCAGGAAAGTAGCACGCCAAAGGGAGGACTACACTCAGAGTGACAATAACGGCTCCAAAATGGCCGAAGCCGAGTTCTAGAAATAGTGTTTGTCGGTCTGTCTAAGTTTTATACGTTTCACGGCAAGAACAAAAATTATCTTTTCCTTACCCATTTCATTTTTTACTAGAGATTACCCATTTTTGTATAACAATTTTTTCTTATCTAATTGCTCAGATTTTTCAAATGTTTTTTATAATTCAAAACATGTTCATAGTTTAATATAACATGTTTGTTATTGATCAACTGTTCGTAAACATTTATTGACATTGAGTGCTCTGTCTACAGACATTTTAAAGCTTTAAATATAGATTCATATGTCCACTTATTTGTATAACCACAGTACACGATAAACTTTTATTTAAACAAATACTACTGAACTTTCTGTTATGTTTATAAACAGTGGATAATTCATGATTCATATGGTGATATATTTTATTTTTTTAAAAGGACAGATAAAAAGACATGTATATTTACATTACAGTGTTACGTTTAAAACAAAAAGACAGTTTTCTTGCACTTTCTTGATTAAGAGAAGTCTTCAAAAACATTACAGTCTACAGCGATACAGACATTGTGCTGATAAGCTTCAATCGTGTTTAACGGCTACGGCTGGTAACTTTATTAAAGGTTTTACCTTTTAACTTAGGTACAGTACAGTCAGTGTGACAGTTTCAACAAATATGTACAAAAGTTCCTTTTCATAAACTACACATTTTAGCTGTAGATTCAATAGTGTGCAATGTACTCATCGTCATACTATGTTAGTGTTTAAAATGTTTAGGTTTCATTACTAAAAATAAATCGAAGAGGTAACTGAAATATAAATGTAAAACAACTTCCAATCAAGTTATTTTTTTATCTTCAAAATATTTTCCTTCTTCAAATACATTTTATGATCACTTGAACCATTATTTAAAGGGGACCTATCATGCAAAATGCACTTTTGTACGTCTTTTATACATGAATATGTGTCCCCGGTGTGTCAGGGAACTCACCAAGTGTCAGAAAACACAACCCTCTCTATTTTCCTCCATACCCAAATCTCTAAAAAAGGGGTTTCAACGGATCTGACAAAAACTGATCCAGATTTGAACACTGTCCTGACGTCAGGACGGTGGCGCTACGGCTATTGGGCCAACTCTCCACCTATCAGGGGAATGTGGGGTTGGGCCACGGCCGGCCATTGCCGCTCGAAAGCGCTGGAGACGCTGTAGTACATATGCCAGGCCTGTAAGTGGTGCTGTAGTCTGCCACAAAAGCAGCGAAGAAGACTTCCCGCGCATGGTTACCATGGTTACCATGGTTACCCTTCTGTTTATTCTCCGCTGTGGCTTTTTTTCTCCCTCCCCGAGGCAAGCGTTTGCTCCTGCTGCTTTAATTCAATGCAATCCCTCCCCGTCGAGGCAAGCACTGTAATTCTCTCCGGTTAGTCCACCAGCAGATGACAAACACCCACCTCTCCGCCTCTTCCAAGGAACGAGGGGACCGTGCGGCAGAGTTTCAGTTAGGTTTTCTTTCGCCGGTCAAGATGCCCGTTAAAGTTTAAATCTTCCGGACAAAATTAGAAAAGTGCCGGTCAAAGGTCTTCTTTGTTATTTATTGAGCTTTAAAACAAATGAATAACGACTCTATTTAATAAAACACGGAGGACGGAGATCTATTTTTCTCCCCCTCTTCTGACTTGATCAGAGCGCGCTCCCCTCTCCTGCAAAAACAGGGCTGGAGAACAGCAAATAGAGCGAAATGAGGCATGGCTAAAATGCATGATCTGTTTGGTATTTTGAAAACAGAAACGTATAAATATACCTTATATAGGTATGGCCCTACAATATATCATTTAAATATAGCATGATAGGTCCACTATAACTTTTACTGATTAAAGAAGGAGCACCAAGTAAGGTAATGCCTCATTTCCACCTCATGGTTTGGCTGTACTCACTTCTGGTACCAGGGTTGCGGTCGAATAGTCCAAAAATCAGCTCCTATCGTCTATCCCTATCGTCTATTCCTTGACCTCTTTGTGAAACGTCACGGGGTTAAGGGATAGTGGATAGGAGAATTCAAAAGGATTTAGGTCAGAGAATTCGAACGGCACTTATCATGGCTGCCACTGAGGTACTTCCGGGTCATTTCACTCCGTTAGGAAGGTTCCTAAGCAAAACGGACTATTCGACCGCAACCCAGGTCTTTTTCGATTTTCCCTGCAGGTAGTAGTAGGCCATTGATGTTTAAAGAGAACCGGTTTGGGGGCGGGCTCAAGCTCCCAGGAAGTGTGCCAGCTGTTGAAGCAGATTTTTGGAATGGACAGTAATACTACAACTTCGGTGTCAGTCCGTGATATCAGTTTGGCCCATTAAGACTTTTTCCTATTGACTTACATTTGGAAAGAGTGGTCTGTAAATCAGCGGTTAAAGAGCTAGATAAACTACCCAGTACAAACACTTTTATAGCCTTATATAAATCATTAGGGTCTAAAAGTTAAATGCGCTAAAAGCCGAATCTAGAGTCATTTTCTCTCTCCATTCATTTGACTGGGCTTAAGGAAAACAACATGCTCTGTTGGCCAAAGGCCTCGGAAGATCAGGTTACTTTTTGAATCTACAGTTGCTCCATTTCTGGTTTCATGCGACACTGAGCAACTCTCAAAGGAAGGAACGGAGCCCCGCCTCCGATGCTGTAGTTCTCCTTATACATCCATGGGTATCTCCGTTTCTGGATCACTTCCTGGGTGCTTGTTGTCGGCGGGATTCTTAACCGATGGCAGTAGCAACGCCCACAAGAAAGGATGCCATCCTTTCAAATCTTGGTAGTCTTAATATAAACATCAAGGTCACTAATGGTGGTAGAGTGGCTATGTTAAAATGGCTAGATGTCCAGGGTCGCCTTATCAGTGATTTTCTCTGACCAATCAGTGATCTGCAGTGTTTTAAATTACCTTTGGCTAGTATCGGCTCAGTTTGCTTGACCGAAAGAGTTCAAGGTAAAATTCACAACTTTGCAAATGAAACAAAAGAAAGCAAGTAAAGTATAGCCGTGTTGTACCATGCAGTGGAAATGTGACATGATTTGTGGTCTTTAGAGTTTTCTTTCATAATATTCCAACTCATAATTGAAAAAAAAAATATGTATGCATAAAGCAAAAACACATGGTAACAGCTTTACACAATGCTACCATGAAGGTCTGTCATCTACAATTGACACACTTGGAATCACAGTTATATTTGTTAGAAATAAGCATTAAGGGTATAAATGTATCCAAAGTGATAAGGCACTAGGTGCTACAAGGTAAGTTATATGTCGATTAGATAAGTCTCAAAAAAGGAGGCAAACATACATTTTGTGTGTCTACACAACCTTTTATATTCTGTCGTCGCTCCTAGCTAAAGCTCGCCCGCTCTCAGAGGTGGACATGTGGTTGTAATGCAGAAACAAGATGGAGTCCAAACTTTCTGGTGGAATGTTTCCTCTCTTCCTGTGCGCTGCTCCCGCCCCTTCCTGTGCAAAGTCCTGTGCGGCGCTACCTGCCACTGCGGGGGCGGCCAGGTAGGCCCGTGCAGCTGTGGCCAGCAGAGGAAACTGACCTGCCTTCATCCTCCACCACTGCAGGGGCTCCACCCCCAGCGACGCCCCCTTGTCGGCTTTGTAGGCGGACATCTCCATGTCTACAGACTCCTCCACGGAGCTCTGCCTGCTCTTAGGGGAGGAGCAGAACAGGTCTCCCAGGAGGAACTCCATCCCAGAGAGTCCTGCCTGAGGGACCGGTTCAGGACAGTCGCTCTCATCTGCCTCCCCCGCGTCACTCTCTTCGTCCGCACACTCCATCTCTCTGAAGTTGATGGGGCGGGACTCTTTGATGCGCTTGCTCCTCCGTAGGAAATCGCACTCGGACTCTGGAGACCCAGGCGATGCGCTTCTCTTGTTCTGGCTCTGCTTCTTACCCTGGCCCTTTTTCCTGTTCTCCTTTACAATCCTCACAGCCTCTTTCTTTAGCCACTCAAAAGTGGCTTCCCGCTCCTTTAAGAGAAACACAACAAAGAGATTTGAAATGTGTGCTCTCTCTCCACATCAATAATTAAGAAATACAGATAACGAAGGTAGTTTAAAAAGTGATTCTTTGTGGCTAATGAAGTTCAATCACATTAGCACCAGAAATTGATTTTACAAAGAAAATGTGATTTCTTTAACAATGGCCCTTGACCAGAGAAATACCATAGTCAGGTGGGTAAATTGGCTTAACCAGTATTTTCCATTGAAATATGATAATATATACGTGGTAAATTCATGTGGAATAATTTGCTGTCCGCTGTTGTCGTGTAATACCTTTTTACTTAAGATTATTTAGTAAACAAAAGTGTTCGGCGCATATATCATATTCAAAGTTGCAAAGTACAAATACAATTTAAATGTAATAATATAATCCAAATAAAATAAGATATTTTAAAATAAGGTACTTTTAGACTTTGGGATTTTATCCTTTGCTGACTATTTACATTCTCTACAATCACAAAAACCTAAATAAACACACTACAGGGAATAGAAAACTCCCAAAAACATAATAGGACCTCTTTAAAACCCTGGCTTACATGAAATGTTCAGTATCAGAAGTCTGACCCTGCTTTAAGAAGGTATGTGATATTCAGAGGGTGGTATATCACTGGGAAGGACCGAGGGCTGGAATCAAAAAGCTGGGCATAAAGAACTTCAATGCCAGCCTCTGACTGCTTCACTGTAATTGTTGTGCATATAAAGAGCTTGAACATATAGCGTGCCACTGTTATTATTGTATGCAAACGTGGCTAGCAAAAAGCTAGAAGCATAGTGTCAGTAGCTCTAGACTCACCTTGTCGTCCATGAAGCGCAGCCCATGGAACTGGGGGTCGAGGGCACATGCCACACACAGAACCCTGTTGACCATAGGGTTGTCGTAACAACTCGCCAAGTTGCGCCTCATCATCCTCTTCACTTCCTTCACGATGGATGACGACTCCCCCGGCAGCAGCACGAGGTGGCGGGAGAGCAGGCCCGTGAGGATGGGCTTGACTAGGGACAGTCGGGGGAACGCCTCCTTGGCCAGAGTCCGACACGCCACGTCCAGAGGTTTGAGGACCAAACAAAGATCCTCCAGAACCTTCCATTCAAAGTGCAGAGACGATGAGTTGGCGTGGCAGCTGCGGAACGAACTGGATTCTGAACCGGTGTCTTCTTTAGACAAGCCCTCGCCTTTAATCTCCTTCATCATATCATAGAAAAGGCTCTTATATTTGACAAGGGTGCTCAGCAAAATGTACAACTTGTTCCACGTTGGCGGAAAGTGAGTCCACGACTTTAACTCCGCCTCTTCCTCTCTCGTAAGGCTTTGCGACAGAGTCTGGACGTGGTGCTCGTAAGACGTTCTGTTCCGAGCCGGGGGCAGGAACAGGGTTGCGAAAATAATCTGGAATTGGCCGAGGGTTTTGGAGATGATGGAGTGGGACATCACTTCCTCGATGCAGCCTTGCACAGCGCTGAAGAAACACGACACAGACGGTAGTCCTTCCATAGAGTGTCCCTGCGCTTCCTGGGGTGACACAGAATCCTCCCTCTCAAGGAATGTTGTCGAGATTGGGTGAGGAACGCTGCATGCAGCCTCTGCACCTTTTTCTCTTTTCACTCGCCTCATCTTGTTTCTTCCCTCCCCTCCCAGCAGGACCAGATTAGGCTGAGAGATCCCCCACTCCTGGGCCATCACTTTCCCCTGAGCCTCCACCAAGCAAAGGTCCTCCCCACTGCTTTCCGTTAGTCTTTGTGTTGCCAGAGCCAGGTTCAGAAAACTAAAATGACAGTCTATGTAATGCACCCAGAGGGTGAGGTACCTCTCCTGTTTGCCCTGCCAGTTGTGAAACCAAACGTCCACACTTAAAGTGACAAAGTGAGGCACTTCCCTCGGCTGGTTGGGAGGTCGCCCGCGTCTCCGTGACTCGAACTCGAGCGGAGCGGTGTAGTCGGGTATCTCCTCGTTTTCGCTGCTTACTATTCTGTTGCTCAGCAGCAGAGCCAGGCTTGTCTTGCCTTTGCTGTGTTGTTCTTTCAGGAGGTGCTCCAGGTGGCCGGTTGACAGCAGCTCCTTGTAGGCGGGCAGCAGGATGTGCATCAGCTGTTTGAAGCCGTCCCCTCCCACCATAGTGGGGGGCTGGAGGTCCTTGATGAGAAAGTTGACGATTGCATTGGTGACATGAACCGAGGAAACCAAGGGCAGTGTGCTGACCAGACCACTGTTAACCATTACTGGCTGCGAGCGCTGTTGGCCTTTTGTGAAGAAAAGAAAAGGAATACATTTTTCAATTAGCAAAAAGGCTTCAACAGTTTTATGCGTTTACAAAGCTGTAGATCGATCTTTAACTACACTAGGGAGTTGAAGGATGTTCCCTTCTCTTGAAATGATAAAGACAGCAATAACACTAAGTTGCTCACATTTTGGCCAATTAACAAACAAATAAATAAATAGATTGTAGCCAAAGACATAATGAATATCTTCCAATGCATTTCAGCACCCAGACACCTGCTCTACACACACACAACTAACAAACAGCTGAACCAACATGTTTCTCTGACCATATATAGATATATATATAAATATTCCAAACAAATAAAAAAAAAAAAATGATACATAAGGATTACATTTTATTTTATTTTCTGAAAATATCAAAGTTCTTTCCCAGAATATTTCCCCTTTAAGCTTTATATAATTTTTTTATCTCTTTTAAAGAGTTTCTCAACTTTTAAAAAGGCAACAAAAGTGTCAATAACCTATATAAATCTGGTACTTCTTAGTGAAATTGAGTTTGAAACACCTGCTTTAATACTACAATGAGGCTGATATTCAATGTTTTTAAAGGGGCCCTATTATGTTCATTTCCAGATTCATATTTGTATTTTGTGCCTCTGCCTTTTCACCCTCTGTCCGAAACCAGAGCCCATTCTGCTCGGATTGGTTAGCTGGCAGACTCTGTTGTGATTGGTCAACCTTCCGCGGCCGAGCGGGGCTGTCGGCAAAATAAATCACTCTGATTGGCTGTTCAGCTTAGCGAATCAGTGCATGAGAAGCGAAACGGAAGTGAGGTACGCAAACAAATGATTAGGCACACACAGACGGCTATTCTTTTTCATTTTCATCTCACCTGGACGCAATAATTTATTTTACATCATGGCGATCTGGAATGAAGAAACCGAAGACCAACTCAATTGCCACGTAATTTGCTGCCACACTTCCTGCATGAGGTGGACAATAGCTTCTTCAAGTATTTAACGGACAGGACCCTGGACGATGTGGCTAATTTTTTTTTTTTATTGTATTACTTACTATTTTTATCTTATTGTATTTTAGTCGATTGTTTACATTGTACAGTTCTACATTTGATAATAAACCACTTTTTACCGCTACTGCAAAATACAAAACTTTATTTCGTACCTTCATACTACAGCCATTAGATAACACAACATTAGAATGAGGATAAAATTAGCTATACTACAATAAAAGTCAGAAGATACAGATGTACATGATGATACATCATTTGCCTGTCAGTGTTATGATGTTGTATATTAATATAATCTTGGATTATAATTACTGATGCATGGAATGTGGTAGCAGCAGTACTTTAAGGTTGCCAGCCACAATGCTTAAATAGTTTATTTCTGCTTCAGAGAGCTGAAGTTTGTATATATCACGCAGTCTGTCTTCCGGTTGCCTCTTTTGAATGACGAATACACACTACCGCCGCCTGCTGGTAAGGGGAGTTATTGCCACTCACGCATGCTCAGTGCGTACGTGCTACTTGGCCGTCGGCTGAAGTCTTTGCGGTGTGTTCCAGTGCGACTTTTTAGCCAACACGCAGGAGACGTGAGGCGACACAACAGTCGGGTCGTGTTCTTTGGTGTCAGTTTGGTGTGTCACTGTCAGGACCTTTAGACCAGGGGTTTTCAAAGTGTGGGAAGGTGAGCCTCCCCTCGGAGAACATAAGAACAGCCGCGCCCCCCCCTCCCAATTGTTATTGCTATTATTATTGTTGTTGTTGCTATAATGCAGGGGTATCATTATCCAGTGGAATGCCCTTACCTACTGGCCTATTAAATCAAAGTAGTTACTTTTTTTTGGCTGGGCAGCATGCAGGGATCTCCGAGGCTCCACTAGCACCCGCAGTCCCCCTGCCCCCCCAAACGTGGCGCACCTACAGTGTGCTCCACTAGCACCCCCCCCCAGCGCGTCACAGTTTTCGCACCCCCAATTCTGACTGACTTCCCGCGTCCCTAGTTTTACACACCGTCTTATTTGACTTTCTCAGGACTTAAAACTGTTTTTTGGGGGCGGACACCCACAAAGAAAAATATATATTTACACACGTAAGGTCATCATCTTAACAGTTTGTTATGCTCATCGAGTCATCCGTGAGCAGAGCATCAAGTTGGCATGCCTATAACAGCTGAATCCGGTGATTACCATGTTGTTCAGCAAAACGCCTCACAAACTTATTAAGATTTAAAGCTTTAGTGCGTTTTGATTCAATGCTGAGTACAGCCACACATGACAGTCTCTTCTCTGTCATTGTAGAACGCAAATACCTCATTCCTTCCGTGTACTTGGGTCCGAATGCTTCTCGCTTTCCGCCGTCCCGTTCAAATGAAATCGCCACCAATCACATTTCCGCGCTCGCGCCAGGGCCGGGGGAGGGGTTACAAGGCTCGCGTCTTGTGCTGCATTCACTTGCACTCGGACATTAGGGATTTTCTCTCATAAAAGTCAGATGAGCCACAACTTTTATTTCAAAACAAAGCTGCCAACTGGGGTGGCAAGGCTATTTTTAGGGTGGCAGTTGCCACCCCATGCCACCCCGGTAGATCCGCCCCTGCTTGACCGGTACTTGCTTTTGATCAAAGTCAATGCGGAAAACCCGCACTCACACAGGTAGGTGGAGAAGGGAATGAGCACTTTTACAGCCTTTTTGGCGAGGTGGAGGAACTCGGTCTCCACAGACAGCCAAAAGTGTGCAAGTGACGTTTTCTGCCAGACGCTGTCTCCTCTTTCACTTTAGGTAACTTCACTAAAAATCGATCCATGTTGCCGCTCGCATAAAGTTAGCTGAAGTTAACTAGCTAGATTTCACTGTTTCTCGTTATTTCTTTCTCACGCTCTCGCCCCCCCCCCGGGGAGGCGCGCCTCACACTTTGAAAACCGCTGCTTTAGACCATAAAAAGCTATATAACACAGGAAAAGGAGTACCCAACAAGGCATAATAAGGGGCCTTTTAATAAAGTCTTGACAACTGAAGCTGGATTACTAGGAAACTCAGTAGCTACCTGTGCAGGAATGACTCCGATCTTTGCTAGCGTCCCGTGTTTTGATGTGGTGCTTGTTGGTCAGATGGATTTGGAGATCTGCTGGTCCTCCTCCGCAGCCCACATGTTCCCTACACAGCTTACACACCCCGGTGCTCCTATCCAGAGGCCGTCCCGTCGGGTCCGGCTCAAATCCGAAGAAGAACCACGGGCTGTTCGGTAAGGTGTTCGAGTTACTCAGCAGTTTCTCTGTCCCAGGCAGGAAATCGTATAGCTTATCTAAGCACGGGGCGGGGAGGGAGATGAGGGAGGGGCCACACGTTGAATCACTGGCTGCGTCTGGGTTTGACATCGTCGTCACGTCACTGATGAGCAGCATCGGGCTCTGTGATTGGCTGTTGTCGGACCAAAGGGAGGAGCTGCTGGGTTCTGGCAGGGTGACCAGTTGGATGTCTTGCAGAAGGCGCAGGATTGTTTCTTTGTCTCCAACATCGCATTTCCCGTTGTCACCTGGATCCACCGAAACAAAAACACAAGCAGAAGACGTTGGCCAATTTTAGCAGGCTACATGTTCAGTTTTAAAGCAACTAAAGTAAATAGGGGGCCTGTGTTTAACAAAAGCAAAACTTTATCAAAACTGGTTGGTCGGCAAAATTGTTCTATTCCAATATAGGTCGTTTTAAATCACGATACAGAACGTTTTCTGTTTATTAATTATATAAATAGTCTATATGTATTTACTCAATGGTAAACAACATTTTGAAATACTGTGTGATTGAAAAGAGCATTCTTGTCATTTAATCAGATATTTTTGAGAAATGTGAGACTTTTATGTGCTTTTCTTTCAACTGATTTGTTTGAAATAAAGGAGACTTGGATTTTACTGCGGGTGCTTAAAAGGATATTTTGATATAGTTTTGTTCTTGTTAAATGTGCCCTCCTTGTACTTAGAGCATTATCTCATATTTGCTCGTTGTGGATGCAAGAATGAAAATTCTTACACAGTAATTGATATTAAACTGGTCATTTTTGGGGTGTAGTATTTATTAACAAGTAAGGAATTATAATTACAGTTCAATTTGGGTCTGTTGTCAGTTGAAAATACTGTTGACTGTGGAACTCACCCGTCCCCAGGCCCAGCAGGGCGGCATAGTCCTTTCCGATCGAGACCTTGAGCTCTGCTCCCTCCATGATGGGCTGGGAAACTCTGTAGTAGATGTGGCGGTAGAACTGGAAGATAACCAGGTTGCGTTCCTCCTCGATGCTGGTATACGTTACATACCTGAAATAAAGATCAAACATTAAGAGAGGGAGCCAATCTCTGTCAGACAAACACTCTGATTTAAAAGAGTATAGATGCACAAAATATTAAGGTTTTTGCCATTTTACAAAAAAAGCAATTTTGCTAGTTGTTTACATAGCTAACACAAATGTATACTTGGTTAATACTTGTGTTTACATTCAAAATAAGATTTTTCTCCGACCGTGGCTGACTTGTTTGACCGTGAGAATGCAGTCTCCGTCTTTCATAAGATAAGGTTTCCTTTATTGATCCCAATTTGGGAAATGTTTTTCGTCACAGCAGCATGTAAACAAGGCATTGCACATGATGTGAAAATGAAAAAGGGGAAAAAAAATAAACAAAAATAAGCAGTACCTTTTACATCCTTGTGCCCCTTGATTAGTTATATTATGTTTGTATGCTGCATGTGTGCAAAAAGGTTTTAGCTTTCGACCTGAATTGAATTTCTCGGTTTTAATTTGTGATGTGTGCCATGTTGTGAAAGCACTAAAAGCTGCTGGTGTATAAAAAGTGCTATACAAATAAAACGTTATTATTAACTATAAACATCTCAAAATTAAAACATAAAACAAAAATAAAGAGTAAAATATATACATATTGACAATGAAAGATATCTGTACAATATACATTTAAGGGTGCCAATGTTCATTCTTTCAACCACATTCTTGAATTTATATATATAGGCCTATCAACAAATCTGTTCCAACCAATAATTCATTTAAGTGTGTTTCTCCTTCAAACTAAAATGTGGGCTTTCTTTGGGGCATGCATCTCTAGTTGGTTTGAATACGACGCACTTAGCCGACTGTAAACAGGAATCTGTATGGACCAATTAAGATTCAAAAAATGTCCTAAAACCGAAATAATATCAGCGTATCTAACTTGTGTTAGATAGTGTGAATGTGCATGTAAACGTAGACCTTGTCTGGGTTATTATTAAACAACAATACACAAAAGAGACAGGAAACAATTTTTTAAGAGATAAACATTACTGGATGCTGCTCACCTCATCCAATTAGACTTGCTTTCATCAGATGCATCGATGTAGACAAAAGAGGCATCATCCCGGATCTGGAAAAGGGAGCAAACTATTTCAATATAAACATTCCTGCTGGTTAGAAAGTCACAAATTCCATATAAATGGATTATAAATGGGATTGCATCTCAAAAAGCGTTTACTCACAGCCCAGGCGTATTTGAGGTTGGTCGGCATTTGTCCTTTGCACACTTCTCCTACGAAGGGCCCAAACATGACTCCCTTCTGCAGGTGACACTTGGCGTACACTTTGATCTCTTCCATCTGGTCTTCGCAGGCAGAACCAGGACCAGACATTCCAGACGCGAAGTTTTCGCACATGCACAGGCAGGAGGGCAGGGACAGCGCTGCCCGGGAGGGGCCGCCATCGAGCCACGGCTCCCCAGGAGGCAGCACGGCGTCCGGAATGTAGTTGGAGTGTGAAGCACTGTGGAGGAGCGGGAAATCCTCCAAGAAATCTTCATTGTTTATTTCCAAACCTGAAGAAGCAAACGGTAGAGAAATAGTTACGGTAATGTTATTAAAAACGGGGAGGACTACATTTTCATGGAGCTGTTTTGTGTTGGCACAAAATGTAAGGAATAAGGCCACAATAGGCAATAATAGTAAATAGAGAGGATGTTACAGTATAAGAATGTGATGCTACTTTACTACATTATAGTAGGTACACAATATTTTGGATATTTATTGCAAAGACAGAAGCTTTGGGTTTGTTTTGATCCTTTTATTTCATTCCCCCACCAAAGAAAAAAAACTTTATTAGAGCATCTTGTATCCAGCATCACCGTTAATCATTGGGACATCTATCTGAACGTTTCACACAGACTGTATTTATTAAAATATTGAATACTTGGCGGCCGTGGTGCAGATTTGGACTGATCTTCTATTAAAGGCGCCCCCTTATCCAGTGGCAGTCCTGCCGGGCAGTTTGAATCGATCTTCGGCAATATCATCCTCAGTGGCTTAGGGACCCCGGGGGGTGGCGCCTGGAGAATATGGATTGTGATTTCAGTCCTGTTATAAGAAAAAATATATTTAAGTTATTTCAGTAGCTGTTCTTGGGTATATGTAGATTACATAATCAACAGGTGAAGGACCGTATCTTACCTTCGCACAGTAGTTTGTGGAATAACAGGAATTATTGCTGCCGCCTCCATTTCTGCATCACACAGTACTTGAAACGGTGTGGTGCTGATGCAGTGATTGGTGTAGACGGTTGACGTGCATGCTTCTTTGGACATGCGGGACAACATTGCGCCAAGAGAATTGACTCCTAGGGGGAGGTGGCTGTACCAAATCTGATCTGTAGGTTCTCTCTTAAGTTGCAAGTAAAGGTTGACAGCTTTGGGCGGGAACTTGCTGATGTACTTTAAAAGAGAAGTCACAGGACAGAATTCATTGCACGGCTTCTCAAACATTGAACTTGTTTCCTTCTCATTATGAGTTTTTGCTTCGTCTGGTAGGGATAAAGTTAGGTATCGGAGTCCTTTCCCGTCTTGCCCGAGTACAAATGAATCTTTTCTCAGCTTCCTGTTGGATTGCTTCCCTCTGCGGCCGAAATGTACCTGAATATCAAACCAGACTTTGTTCAGGAGTCCCTTTGGAGTGCTGGTGTCCATTGCTTTTGAGCGTCTGAGGATGAGGATGTCATCAGGAGACAGCGTCGGGTGGGATGAGGACATGTCTAAACCAGACTTCCTTATTTTCCTCAGCACGCCCAGGAACACCTTGTTTGCTGAGGTGAACTCCACATCTCTCATTATGTTCACAGTGCGATTAAGAGGAGGAATTTTGAAGATGCGGTTAAGTCCGGCTCTCAGGGCGAGGTAACTACAAATCCCATACAGCTCTCCTTTGCCGGTTCGTACTGATCCGTAATATCTCCTCAGCAGAGTGTTCAGCTCGGTTTTATGCACTGTGGCCAGGTCCACCTGCTGCCCCTGGGACTCCAACCAGCAAGTGAAAGAGCTCACAGCCCATCGTGTCTGCTTCTGTGAAAGCTTACTTATTTCACCCATGCTCTCTTCAAGTTCATCCAGTTCCAGGTCTAACAGCATAACTTGTCTAGAAATCTCAGCAGGATTTAGCACACACTCTTCCTCTTCTTCATCTTCCTCTGACTCATACTCTTCTTTCACAATGATCTTCTCTTTGGTTTCCACTTGACACAAATCCATTTTTTCACAGGAATCCTTCAGGTCTGCATTCATAGTGTTAGCTGTTAGCTCCATTAGCTATAAATGTTTATAGTTTATGTAAAACGAGGCGTTGTTAGGGTTTGACAGTGTTAGCAACGCGCGGAGTGATACAGTTGAAGTAGTCAGTTTCCAGTGCAATACGCCGATTATAGCACAGTCATTATCAGCTTGTTTTGAAGAGACGGGATAACAGAACGATAAAAGATGGCGGCTCTGAGTGGCCAGTCACTGCACCATCTCCAGTGCTGTTGTTTATTGCAGAATATCAGAACAGCGGGAGAATAGCAACATATCGACCAATCCATAAATTATATTTGAAAACAAAATATTCCCAAATGTTACCTCTTTAGCGTACAACGGATTTAGTTAATGTAGGTGATGCCATAGCAACAACAACGGCTTAAAACGGACTGCCGTAAACAGACTTTTAGCAGTGGGGTCGTGGTCCCTTTGCGCATGCGTACAAGTACATATGGAAGGTTTACAGATGTTTGTTTATACTCACACTGCTACACGGAAACGATGGTCCCTTAATGTGACATGGAACTTACTTTATGTATTAAAGACCCTGACATTTAGTAATTCCCTTGTTTAAAAAACAGATACATTTACGGTTTTACTTGTGTGGGTCGGTGTTACTTAATAGACTCTTGAGTGTAAGCGACTGTCTTGATTTGTGTACACTCTTTGATTGTGTCCGATACAATCTCACTGCATGATTGGAAATAAAGGTTGCATTCAAAGAAGTAACAAACACACTAAATACATTGACATTAGTCGGTCTAATTGTTCCTTTAACTTATAACATTATATCTGTGCTCTCACGTGGTTGAACGTCTGCATTCATTACAATGCATCTTTAAAACCCACAACAATAAACCACTGCAATTGTGTTTTGTCAGTTTAAAAGGGCATGGATAAAATCATCAGTGGCCAATGCAAGAAGAATGAAATGTGATGCACTCTTTGGATACAATGTATTTGCAGTGAAAGCTTTGAAATTGGTATACCTTGAGGCTCAAACAAAAGTCCAGAGGTTGTGGAAGAAGGGGTCTCAAAAAAATCAGCACGATGTCGACGCTTCAGATGACTTCTTAAATTCGTGGTATTTCCACCTTTTACAAGGACTATTTTTCGGCAAAGACGACAAATAGCCTCGCCGGAATTCAAAGGTTGTCCCCTTTCATCTGCTTTCAAGCCGAAGTACATCCACACGACTGACTTGCTTCTTGGTTTACAGACGAGATCCATGTTTTGCTGAACCTTCTCTGCTCTCTCTGCAGGCTAAGGCTGTCCGCTGGACTGCTGCTTGTTGCAGCACTGCCACAGGAGTTATGCTGGATAGAAAGGACATTACCCGGAAAATGTATTCAATTATTTTGAGCACAATTTAAAATGTAATTCTAAACGTGTGTAGATGGCAATGAGATCATTCTGTACAAATAAAAACAAGCGCCGTGCATACATGTGAAAACAGAAGGAAATTGTGAGATAACCTAGATTTTAAAGTGGATACAATTTCCATCTTCTTATTATATTTTGTGACATGCACAAATGCTAACCACACTCTACTTTCAGTGGCTTTTAGGAAATAAAATAATAGGATGACATTGGTTTCTACCTGCTCTATTTCTATGCTTTCTACGTCTTTTTCTGTAGACCGACGACAACATACTGCGACATGTCAGGGTTGCCAGGTTCTGTTGTCAATAGACCTCACAAACTCCAAACTCAGACCTCAGAACATACTATCTCAGAATAATATGTATTATATTGGATTATTGATAGTAGTTGCAACTGATTGCTTCTAATCACATAATCCCTTGATCTTAATATATAACAATATGTCACAATGTCTTAGTAAAATAAAGTAATTTAAATATTAGCCATTGAAATGTAATAATAGAGGTAGGGTTTGTTGTAGTAAGTGTAAATGCACAAGTATAGTTAAAGTGCCTCAGATTACATTACATTAAAAACTTAATTCTGTTACTTTCCACCTGAATCTGGCAACACATGGGCACGTGTTCCTGATGCTGCCATCTACAGTTTGGCGTTAATCATACCGGATGAGTTCATGGAGGTACGAGGAGTCTGATTTCTGTTTTCCAGTTATACAAACATCTGGAAAGCCGAGGTTCTTTGCAAGGGCCGGCTCGGTGTCTACTGCAAATCAGGTAACCACTAAACCCGCTTTTTTTTGTATTTTCAGGCCAGCAGTCGCTCTTTGGTATGACCACACATTATGCTTATGCTTAAATTACGAAGCTCACTGGACTTTATCCTAAGTCATAGCTTTATCTCAACGTAACGTTAGTTTCTTGCGGTAAATTAAGCTTTTAGTGGCCGAAAATGTGTTATTTCCTCGTTCCGACAGTTAGCCTAGCCAGTGCTAACAGCATTGTGGTCCTGCGGACTTGCCGTAGCTGTCTTCTTCCTGGTGGGGTAGGGGTTGCCATGGCGACCTCACTCACAAGTTATCGGTGGTAGAAACTGTATTTTAAACCGCAGACACAGCATTGAGCGTGAGCACACATAAGAAAGAAATGGCTTCTTGCCTGGTTCCCGACTTCCCGGCCGTCATGGTGGCTCTGGAGCATTTAAAGGAGCTGGACAAACAGCTAAAAGAGGAGAGCGTACCTTTCTTACCTGAAGCCAGCATCAACCTGAGGGAGATAACGGCGGCGATCACTGAACTGGAGGCTGACCGTCGTGCCTCTCATGAACATTTAGAGGTGGAAACCATAGAAAACAGCAAGCTAAGACAAAAAATTAACAAGATAAGAGAATGTATGAGACAGGAAATCGTGGCTGGTGTAGCAGCAGCCCGGGCATCTAACGCTGAGGAGATTGAGAAGCTGCACAAAGACCTCAAATCAGTTTCCCAGCTGCAGGAAGTCACAGTGAAGAGGGATGAAGTCCTCTTGAGCCAGAACAAAGCACTGCACCCAGAGCTAGAGCAAGTGAAGGCTTGGCACGAAGAGATCATAGCGGCTCAGAATGATCAAATCACTTTAAAGTATGGCCTGCAGATGCAGCTGGATCGAACACGTGATTGGGTAGAGGATATGAAGTCCTGCATCGCTGCTGTCGAACAGGATACAATAACACTGCAGCAGAAGACGGTGCTGGAGAGGGAGTCCTTCTCTGTGAGAAAAGACAAGTTGTCCAAAGAGGTGGACCAAGTTGATGAGAAAATTAAACAGCAGAAGCAGGTGGTCAAGAGGAGCAGAGTAGAGTCGGACGGACTTAATGACAGGAAACAAAAAACCCACAATGATCTGGGAGAGCTCACGATGGACCTGGGCAAGCTAGAGAGCAACTTACGAAGACTGGAAGCCTCTCGGTGCCAGAACGAGAAACGGCTGCAGGTGGACAGCCAAAAGCATCAAGAGTTGAGGCAACAGAGAGAAACACTGAAGAAGGAGTTGCTTGAGTTAGGGGAAGCCTTTAGCAACACCATCCAGGGTCTTAAAGAGGAAATATCCACGGTGGAAGGTACAACGGAGAAGGGTCGAGAATCCAGATTGCGCTGTCAAAACTCCCTGTCACAAATCTTTGAGATATTCAAGTGTCAGCGCGAAGAAGAGAATGAAGTGAGGGCCGAGCACTTCCACGTGTCGCAGCAGCTGGACAGATCCAAGCTGCAGCTGGAGGAGCGCATCGCCTCCGTGGTCAGACACGGCAAGGAGATCAAAGAGATGGACAAGCAGATCAGAGAGCTCCTGGAAACGGACACGATCACAAAGCGCGTGTTTGAGAGGAATCAGGAAGAGCTGTGCGACAACATGGATACTGAGAAGAAGAACATTGAACATTACGAGGAGGAAAAGAGGCTGACGATGAGGCTCATGCATGAGACGAAGACCAAGCAGGAGGAGCACGTGGCGAAGATGACCTCTGACATCAGCGACACCAGGAGGAGATACCGGGAGCTTCGACAAGAGGAGGCAGCGCTCCACAAGCGTCACCCCAAGAGCACAAATGCGGACTTGCTTATGAGCCACATGACGCAATGTGAGGTGGAGTTCAGACAAAAAGAGACTACATGCCATGAGGAAATAGAGCAGTGCCTCATGGAGGTAGCAACTATCACCATTAGCCATGAAGAGAAGCAGAGGGAACTGAAGGAGAACGAGGACATGTTGAACGACGTGGCGGCAAAGTGGAATGAAGAGCAACCCAGGCACCAGAGGCTGAAGACACTGACCTCCGAGCTGAGGAGGAAGAGGAGCGAGCTGGAGCTGACAATCCAGTCGCTGAAAGAGGAAACTGGGTCTCTGCTGCAGCCTAAAGAGGAGATGAAGGCCGAGCTGGAGGCGATGAGAAAAAGCTCCATGGACGTGCTCGGAAACACAGGCCTCAGAGATGAGAGCTGTGGAGATAAGCGTCTACAACAATAGCGTGAAACTGGAGCAGGTCAGCACGGAGAACAGCCGGCTGCACCTCGCTATCCAGCAGATGACGGAGGATGTCACCAGAGTCAGGGAGGACAAAGAGCGATACTGGCAGGAGGTTCAGCAGTTCGAGCGGAACACAAAGACCTTGTTTGAGAGCTTACAGGACGCATGGAGAGTGGATTTACAGACGACCCAGGACTGTCAGAACGGCGACAGTGTTCTGCTGGAGTCCATAAGCGGCGTGTTGAACCACCTGAAGACCAGGAGACAACAGTTAGGCACCATCAGCACACGCCTACATTGTGTCATGTTGGACTTCAGCAAGCGGCTGGGGGATCAATCTACTGTAGAACAGCAGAGCTAGTGTCTCTGAGCACTGTGCATTGAATTCTTAATGTTGTTGTTGCATTGAAATTTGAAAGAAGAATAAAGCTCACAGCAAATAAAATGGGTTATAAGGTCTTGTCTCTTAATTTAATTTTAATTTCAGGCTCATATACACGAGTAGACTTCAGTAAAAGGCATCCATATAGACATATTCGGCCCAGATTCTTTTTGAATAATCGTTAAGAATATCAAAAAACTTTGGAATATTGTGAAAGATGTCGATTGCAGTTTCTTAAAGTCCAAGGTGATGTCTTTAAATGTCTTGTTTTTTCTCCCGAAACCCAAAGATATTCACTTTAATGTGATATAAAACAGAGGAAAGTATCAGTATCGTATGCCATTTTTGCCTCAGAAATTAATTCATTTTTGATCAAATATCATAATAGTTGGCGTTACTCATCAATGAAACGCTAAGTCGACTAATCGTTGCAGCTCTACTAACTCTCTCTATTAACATTTTATTTTTTAAGTAATAGTGGATGTTAAGACATTTCTTTTGACTTGTCCAACATAGGTGTCAAAAACATGATTCATTTCTTCATTGGGTCATTCTGATGCCAATTTACCAAGAGCTCCCTTTAAACAATTCATGTGAAATTTGATTTAGTTCATGGTTCATGATTTCTTTTAGTAACACATTATTGTTAGTGTATCTCTGCCTCACCAGCTCCTAATTTTTCACTGGATTTGGTTGAAATTTACATCCAAAAAGTATTTGGGGAAATGTGTGTCTGTAGTTAAACTGTTGTGGAATGCTTTACAGTAATCAAATTAGTTTGAACAAATGACAAACAAAATCAAAAAATAGTTTTCAAATACATCCACTAATTGTAACCTTCTTGAAACCAAATGTTTATTATAATAAAAGATATTAATATATTTGCAGTATTTTTTATTAATTCATAATAATGTTTACGGAGCTTGCTTGATGGAAACATTTTTTTCATCACATAATGCTCAAATAGTAAAAGGATATAAACACTTTTGTTACTTCATACTATGTATATACATTTAGTAACAACACTACATGTTTGAAGAATGCAGTATTTCCACAAATTCCTAACAAGTTTTTCTTATTTTAACTTTACTAAGAAGTGTTAAAAAAAGAATAAAAGAGTTGCATGTAAACATTATAACATTCCCTCTGCCTGTTACATCCATCAGCTGCCATATTGATTTTCAGGTTGTAAATATAATTAAACTCAGCTTTTCTTTCTCTGCAGGCTGTTAACAGTTTGACCCTCGCTCCTACCAGCAGGTGGCAGAGGAGACCAGCTCTCTCTCACCTGTGACCTTCTTCTGCAGCTAGAGGGGTCAAACAACCACCCCCTTCCCTCAAAACAAAAACACTATGTTCCCGTCGCCACACTATTATGGACCACACAGAGGCAGAGAAAGAAGGCTGAAACACAAGGCAGCAGCTGCACACGTGGAGCTGGAGGAAATCAGCTGTTATTTCCAGTAAAGAAGGTAAGTCTTTGAAGTCAACTTTGCCTGTAGCTCTACTTCATAAGATATATTTGGGGCTAACAACAGGCTATATATATATATACATATATCTCTTTATTTTCCTCCTGCTGCTTTAAAGTTAAAGGCCTTTTTGAGTAATGTAATGTTTTACATTTTGGTCACACACCAATATATCGTCTTTTCACAGCCAAATGACCGTTGTTAAAACAGTTTTTATGTCGAATGAAATCATAAATATCCAAGTCTAATGTCTGCTGAAGCATTTATAGAGAAAACGCAAATTAGCTGCTTTTAGCAAGTATAATGAAGCTAAAATAGAAGTCATAATTCCCTGTGAAACATCACCTTCTAACTGGATTTATTAATCATAAAAATCATCTCCCTGTTTGTTCACAACTAAAAGAAAATGCCACTTACTTTACTAATGCATAATGTATGTGTTATGTGGGTTGAGTGGCTCCTTAGACCCCATTTACACGGGAACGTTTACGCACCGAATTCGTTTTCCAAAAAGTCTTCCGTTCACACGCATTCGGCTCATTTAACGTGTCCGTTCACACGAGACCACGCTCGGGAGCGCTGGAGACGCTGTAGTACATATGCCGGGCCTGTAAGTGGCGCTGTAACTTCTGCCACAAAATACACCAAAAGCAGCGAAGAAGACCCCCGAGCATGGTTGCCATGGTTGCCCTTCTGTTTATGCCCCGCGGTGGATTTAGCAACATGTAGTTCATGTAATTCTCCATGTCCACTTGTTGCTGATGGTTGTGGTAGAGGAGCTGTAGATTTTGCACTAACATCTGTAGCATGGTCAGTAGCAGTAGCTACTGACAGTAGCTACTGACCATGCTACAGCAGTGAGCAGCAGAGGTGGGGAGAGGCGGGGCTATGGCTCATCGTTATCAGGAAATGATCGTATAGGGCGTACACACGGAGCCGTTTGCCCCCCCAGAGCGTTCCGTTTGCAGATCTATCCACCTTGGGACCCGTTATGGTTTGCGGGGTCCGTTTCCGCATTTCCGTTACGGCCTCGTGTGAACGAACGGGCTAAATGAAAGAGAAAAGTTGCGGATACAACCGTTTGCGTTATCGTGTAAACAGCACATTAATGCTGTAGTGTGTATTCCCTAATATTTGAAGTAGAGGAGGCACCCCCTCTAAAGGTTAGGAGTGTTAAAGTAGCAATTTAATACCACCATCTAGATTACATAAATGATGAAGATTTAAGGGTCTGAAATATATATCACGCATATTCTCAAACATGCATATGCACGTGTGTAAGTCTACATTTTAAGAAAATATTGAAATCGAAGGCGTATTTTCGGTGAACTGTTGTTTTTAAGGGGCCCTATTTAGCTTTTTGGGGTTTTCCCTTTCCTATAGTGTGTAATATAGGTTGTTGTGCATGTAAGGGGTCTTCCAAGGCTAGAATCCCACTGTTCCCTCCCACACTCTCCCCCCCCCTGCCTGAATGTCATAATGGCATCACGATGCAACGCCTGTGTTTCATTGGCTAGTGCTCCAACACATTGTACGTGATAGGTTAAGGGGCGGGACATCTCTTAGCTCTTGACAAATCACTAATCACCAATCAGAAAAGACTGGGCTCTGGTTTCGGACAGAGGGTGATAAGAGGTGGCAGTATGAGAAGAATAAAGAGCTTTTTGAACTTTAAAGCAAGGAAGCATGTCACAGTGGAGGCAACAAATATAAATTTGAACCTCAAAATTAGCAGAATATGTCCTAAAAAAAAGTGTTCCTTGCAGTAAAAAATAAATGGCTTTAATGGGATTAGGTTTACTGTACTGTGTTTCAGGTTGTCGTTTTTTTTACTTACAGTCTTGACCTTCAATATGTCATACAAAAAAATAAAAAATGTTTGCCATATAGATAACATCATTGTTTTTCAGTGAGCCAGTCCAACACTTTGGCTCAGATTGAAATATGTCAACTATTTGATGGATTGCCATGACATTTGGTACACACATGTACTCCTTAGGATGCATCGCTAAAAGTATTGTTTGTTAGCTCGCATTCACACCTAATAGTCCGTTTTCAGGTGCGCACCAGACGACAGTTTGTTACATTGTTACATTTTTCAGAAGGTTCTGTTTGCGTTCACACGGGCAAAACTCAAACGGACTATAAACTTTAAACACAAGTCATGTGCACGGAAATGCTGTTCAACCATTTGACAATTTCTATCGGAGCCTCCGCCATGGAGCATCGGCACTTTCGGCAGGTTATTTTCATGCTTCTGTTGATCTGGAGATCAACAGACTCTAGGGGCCCGCGCATATGATATTATATAATCAGACAACGTCCGTTAAAAAAATGTATAACACATAATGAGAGACGTTCTACAGTCAGGAGGAGGTTTCACAGACGACAGGTGGCTCTGACTTTTATGTATAGTTGACGGAGCATTTTTACTGTTACGACACTGTTCAACACTTCATTCTGCTTCACTCTTTAACTAAACAAACGCGGATGTCTTCAAAATCTTTTTTGAAGACATCCGCGTTCTTGTGACGCGTAAATACTACACTTCCTATGTTTTGGTGCGGACTGCGTTCACACCAGCGATGAACCGCTCCAGAGTTCACTAGCAAGCACTCCGAGACCACCTCTTTTAGGCGGACCAGAGTCCGGTTGTTTAGTTCACTTCAGAGGTCTCGGACTGCGTTCACACCAACCCAAACGAACCGCACCAAGCGGCTAAACGCACCAGGGTTCGATTCAACCGCACTATACAAGGATGGTGTGAATGTAGTTTCTTTATTTACACATAAAAAAAGAAAAAGATACATTAGCCGCTGTTCACACCAAGTACTTTGCCGTACTTAGTGCCGGCACTTAGTGCCCCGGCACTTATTACCCCAGGGCACTTAGTACAGATCGCGTTCACACCGGAATAAGTTCCCTGAGGGAAGATTACGCAAATGAGCCGCTGACGTCACTTCGTCTTCTTCTGCTTTGGGTTTACTGGCAGGCCGCAAACAACTTCACGGTGTATACTGCCACCCGAAGTCCCCGGCCGGAAGTCCCCGGAGTTGGGGACTGGCTTCAGTAGAAGCTGCTGGGAGTCCCAGTAAATCGCCAGAACGCCGACACCTCCTCATCTCCACCGCTCCCATGTTTTATTTTGTCTTGCCATAAGTTAGTCTCTCTGCGTTTGTGCACTGGGTGAATGCTAATGCTAATAATGCTAATGCAAGGATAATAAAATGGCGGCTCTACAAAACATTTCAGCGTTTTACGCGGCGTGGTTTGCATTTCGCCCAGCCAATCAGAACTGGGGCACTTTTTTCCCCCAGGAAAGTACCATCTCTCAGCAGGCACTAAAAATGGGGGTAAAAGTTCCCGGCACTCAGTAGGCCTACTCTTTTTGGTGTGAACGCGACATAAGGGGTACTAACGGAACTAAACGCGAAAAGTACGGGGAAAAGTACTCCGGTGTGAACGCGGCTAATGTATAATTTTCAACTTGAGGGAAAAATGCATTCTGGCCTTCACTTGGTAGGATTATTAGAAAATAGTTACGCCATCATAATAAAAATAATATGTATTTATCAAATAAAAAAAATTAGACAAAGTTCAGTATTATATTACAATTCTAGAGTTGAATAGATCAGTCAGTCATCATAAGACACACAAACAAGCATGGTATGAACAAACACCTTTATTAACACTCAGAGCATGCACTCATGTGACATAGTGAGAATCTTCGTTACCAGGAAGTATAAAGGAGAAAACAAAACAAGCAGTAGTCATGATAGGCCTTTTAGACTGAAAGATGAAGGAAACATTGCTGGGACCAAGCTTATAAAAGGAGTCCAAATGGAAGATATTGGTTAGTTAGAATGACTTCTTTAGCTTAGAACTCTCAACTTAATTCTCTTTTCAATTTCTGTGTGTGCACATGGCCATTCATTCATGTATTTTTCAAATGGGGAAAAAGTAAGTCTCTTTTTTTAAATACGGTAGTATTATTTAATAACACAAATGCACACACATCACTTGTAAATAGTTTCACCTATGGGGAGAACATCACACACACTCACATGCGCACAAAAACACACATTTGAATATCATGTGGCAGCTGCCCTTTAATGTGGAAATGTCAATATGCCACTAAAGGATATCGTAACACACACACACACTCACGTATACACCCTCACACACCACTACAGTTAATTATTCTGCCTGGAGCCACAATAGATTGTCTACGGGATATGAGTCGCGCTGCCCTCACAGTAGCACACACACTATATCAATGAATGCACATTCACCCTGTTTGTAAATCAGGCGCTTTTGAAAGGTGTTTTATCTTCTGCTGCTTTAAAAAAACGTTTATTCTGTAACAATCCTGTGTGTCCGTCTAACGCGGGCGGGTTGTGACTCGTTAATGTTTGGAGACTATGCAGACCTGCCTGTTCAGACGTGAGTCACCATCACAGGTCAGCAGAGCTTTTAGATCTCTGTAATGTGCGCTGGTCTGTGAGCTGACACGCTGACGTCCGAGCAACACGGTGGAACGCTCCCTGACTCCATTCTGTTGGTTTAAGAGATCCGGATAGAGAGGAATATAGGGGCTTTGTCTCTGCTTGACAAACATTATTTTGATCAGCAAGGACACACAAGAGCAATGTGTTATATTAAACAAGAGGAACAGCTGGAGGCTTTACGTAGTTCTTTCAAAATGTAGAGGGGTTTATGAAATGAGTACGAGAGAAAAATGCAAATGATATACACAAAGGGTTATTCCCCATCTTTGTTTTTTATGTTAATTACCCAATTTAACAAAAAGACAGTTAAATGAAAAAGGCCATGTTGTGTTCTTTGGAGTATTCTCTTTCCTGTGTTTTTGTAAATGGTCTTCAAAGGCTAAAATCCCAAAGTTCCCTCTAGACGGAGTTTCTTCTATTGATTTCAAATTAAATGTTTTAATTTAAAAAACTTAAAACCCTGTTTTAATCAGTAACCCGTTAAGGGGAGCCTTGAACCACAGTTTTGAAATAGCTCAATACATTTTGATCCGAGAACCAAAATAGTATAACTAATAAGTACAATGCACTACTGCACATGGAAAAGAACATTGAACTCTGATGTAACACAAGTTACTGTAAACTGCGATCAAAGTGACCTCAGTGTCGTTACATCACGCAATCCAAGGAAGTCATTGTTACAAACCACAGACACGCACACACACACACTCATGATTGGTTTAGTCATGCAATCATTGTTGCAATTTGTGTGTTTGTGACAAACTCCATGTTACTTTATGCTTTTGTTTGTTGTTTGGGCAAAGGTGAGACGATCTAATATGTGTGTATCCGTAACAACTCTGCACACACTCAAGCTTGTGTGTGTGTGAGAGACTGAGAGAGCTGCCGTTTGGATTGCGCAGTGAATCCCTCTCTCCCTCGTTAGCACATGACGTGAATGACTCCATATGGCGTGGTGACGTTCATACTTCCTAGTCTCTCTCTTTCTCGCCCCTTTCCTCCCCGAGGCTTTATAGGCAGCAGTGAACCGTGAAAGGGCATTCTTTTAAACAAATACACATCTGTTTCCAGTTTCAGAGAAAACCCTGTCAGCTCTCACTGTCTTCAGTTTCAGAGAAAACCTTTTCGGCTCAGACAGGAAACCTAAACCAGTAAACAAACCTTGTCTTTAAAAAGGGTATTGCCGGTGTTTAAAAGGAGGCATTACAAACAAACTCTGTTCAGAGTGGACATAGCCGTGGACATAGCCGTGGACATAGCCGTGGACATAGCCGTGGACATAATGGACACTATTGGTAAGAGGCAGCTATTCTTTCTTTTACTGTGACCTCGGCAAACTGCCAGTCTGTAAACCTACAATTTCAAATTGAAAGTTGCCTCCTTAAAGTGCTGTTCTCATATGCTGCCTGGTTTACAAACTGTATGGGATCAGTGTTGAAAAGCATTGTTATCAACATTATACAACATAGTATTCATATTCCTTGTAATGTGTTCTAAAGGTTTTTGTGCATGTAAATGGTCTGCAAAGGCTAAAATCCCAAAGTTCGCACCAGAGGGCGTTTCTCTAACCTTGAGTTCTAGTGTTAGTACATATGGCTGTCTGTACGGGAGATCCTGTGTAAATGAATAATGTTATTTTACATTTTACTTTGAGTAACAAGGAAGTTCTTTCAGTTTGAGCGCATGAACACAAAACTACTTGATTTAATGGACTGGAGGTGTTAACATTTTTGACGATCCACCAATGTGTCATTACATTTACAAAATGCTGAATGTTTTTCTCCATCCTCACACACCTCACCATCTTGTTCTTCCTCTCAGTGTGTCCGATGGGTGGGGGGGCCACCAGGCTGTACAGCGCCCTGACTCCGCCCCTCAGCAGCTCTCCTCTCCCCCCACCTGCAGTCACAAACCTGGATCCAGCGTTCTGTCAGGTCAGTGGCTCCTCCTCCTCTGCTCACTGTACAAATGTAAACAAAAAGTGACTCAGTAAATGCTGTCAGCAGTTTTGTAGGCAAGTTATTTACATAGTAACTGACATAATGGGGTATAAATACTGTGCCTCCAAAACATTGTACTGCTGAATGATGATTCTTGACATTTTACTTTTTGCTGGCAAAATAATGTCTTTTTACACAATGAAAACCCCCATGCGTACTATTTGTTGATAAAGGAAGAGGATAAGGGCCACATGTGAGATATTTATTTGAGATCTGACCATGAGTTCATCTTCTTTTTTCTTTTTTTTCTGAGATTAAAGTCAGAATTCTGAAAAAAGTCAGATACAGAGAAAAAAGTCAAACTCCTCGTAACAATTTCAGATACAGAGAAAGAGGTCAGATACAGAGAAAATATTCAGACACAGAGAAACAAATCAGTTACGGAGAAAGAGGTCAGATACAGAGAAAGAGGTCAGATACAGAGAAAGAGGTCAGATACAGAGAAAGAGGTCAGATACAGAGAAAGAGGTCAGATACGCAGAAACATGTCAGATACAGAGAAAATATTCAGACACAGAGAAACAAATCAGTTACGGAGAAAGAGGTCGGATACGGAGGGAAAAGTCAGATAAGGCCAGGCAAGTTTATTTAAATAGCACCTTTCAACCCAAGGCAATTCAAAAAGTTTACAAAAAATGAAATAAACATAAAATAGAATAACATAGGTATACAATACATGAGTCAAAGTTACAGTGCAGTCTAATTTAAAAGGAAAAGGAAAAGCCTTCAGCCTGGATTTGAAAGCAGGATTCTGGGAGTTTGTTCCAGATATTTGGAACATAATAACTGGAGATAAGGAGAAGATTGTCAAGAGGTCAGAATCCTGAGAATTGTGACTTTAATCTCAGAACAAAGAAAAATCATGACTTTTGGTCAGATCTCAAGAAAAGAGTCACATGTTGATTCTCTTCCAGTCAATACATTATTATCTTCCTTTATTAGTTTAAAAACTGTCAATCGCATCTGTAAACAATTCTAGAGGAGAAACATTACAGCCTATTAAAAGAGCTGGTTCTATACTTCATGTCAAATATTATGTAGACATACGTTTGCCTCGATTTGTGGGAAGACGATTAGGAAAATAATAATTGCCAACATGGTGTACAAAAATGAAATGTGAAAATGTACATCATGCGAAGAACATGTATTTGTTATCTTATTCTGTGAGCAATGCTCATGCTCAGCTCTCTAAATACACATTTGTGCACAGCCCTCCCTCCACTTTAAAGTACAACACACTGTAGTTTGTAGTATATTTTCATATATTAATTGTCCTGAGTGTTTTAGTTTATTAGCTTGTAAGGTTCTTTGTATATTTAAATGTTCTGTATGTTTGTTTCATCTTATATGGATGGCTGGAAACATTTATAAAAAGCTGGTAAAAAAAGAATGGTGTCACAGCAGTGATGTGTGTGTGTGTGTGTGTTGCAGGAGCAGAAGGGGGCCCCTGTGTGTCCCGCAGAGCTGCTCAGACAGTGTGAGGAGGCCCTCAGGGGCCGAGCGCCTCGCTTCCACAGGAAGTTCACTCAGTTGCAGGATGGAGGCGGCGCCCCCAGCAGCTCCATCAGGGTGATGCAGTGGAACATACTGGCCCAAGGTACACTGCTTCAGCCTGAATAATACACACACTCGAGTTTAGGCTCAGATTTATCTACAGACAAAATCCAGCTTTACTCAGTTCCCACGGTCATGGAATTGATTTGTGTTTACTGAAATTGTTACAGTTATATAAGGGATAATGGGCATTGAGGCGCTCATTAATGAAAAGGGAACACCAGAGGGCAAAGGTGTTCTTTTTTCCTGCTTATTACCATGAGATACTAAATAAAACAACAACTTCATTCAAAATATTGATTTAAATGAAAGTTGTTTAAAATGATCCGTTGCACTGCGTACCAACAGCTAGAACTACTGCGACAACAACTTAAAATGAAGGCAGCACTGTTCGAGGTTTTCTGTAATTGTCCAAGTCTGTTACATTTTCTTACCTTTAACCAGTCCTTAAACTCTGCTAGAGCCCATACCATCTTCCTGTTTACTTCCTGTTTGTCTTCTTCTGCTGATTTCCCTGACGTCCAGCGCTCTATAGTTTAACCTCTTTCCCTTTCTTGTTTTCTTTTTTTTCTTTACTGGGGACAGTTTATCAGGAATTGAAAGTTTAGTGCTCTCTGCAAATATCAAAATGAATATTCAAAAAGTAATCCATGGATAAAAAAACTTGTTGCAGGATAGAAACTCTGGACCAATTCTGAACTGGGGTTAGAGCTGCACAATTCATTGTATTCTTATCAAAATCGCTATATGGACTTGTGTAATATTCAAATAGCATGAGGCACAATACTTCTTAAAGGCAAAACATTCCCTAAAATACCATTCTTAATTAAATATTGTTGAACTGCAGAGATGAGACCTACCAATCATATTCTACAGACTTAACAAAACATCAATCCTAAGACGACACATTCTGCTCATTTCCAGGTTCATATCAGTACGTAGTGTCTCTCCTGGGACATGACTCCATGCTTTGATGTTCACAAAGATCCTGCTTTTTCTCATACTGCCTGTGCTGCAGCACCTCTTTTCACCCTCTGTCTGAAACCAGAGCCCAGTCTGCTCTGATTGGTTAGCTGGCTGGCTCTGTTGTGATTGGCCACTATTTGTAGCACTTTATTATAATTATTATATCATATGTTTGTCCAAGAGATGCTCATTTGCAATGACTTTAAGAAAAGTCAGTAACTTTTCCTGCCTGAGAGAGGGGAAGCGTCCCGCTGTATTTCCTCCCTCCACCTTAACGGAGCCTCATTCAGCAGAGTGTGACTACAGGCGGTGTATTCTCCGGTGTGTAGGGATCGGTTTTGGCATTTGTCCCCTTTCTGGCTAACTGTTGTTCAGCTCCTCCAGGTTATCTCCACCCTAATACTCTTCCCTCCCCCCCCCCCCCGTCTGGCAGCTCTTGGCGAGGGGCTTGACAGCTTCGTCCAGTGTCCCCCGGAGGCCCTCAGCTGGTCCCGCAGGAAGTACCTCATCTTAGAGGAGATCCTCACCTACCGCCCTCACATCCTGTGTCTGCAGGAAGTGGACCACTACTACGACACCCTCCAGCCGGTCCTCGCAGGCCTGGGCTACAGCAGCAACTTCTGCCCCAAGCCCTGGTCTCCCTGCCTGGATGTGGAGGGCAACAACGGCCCCGACGGCTGCGCGCTGTTCTACGACGAGTCGCGTTTTGAGTTCCTGGACAGCGTCAACCTCCAGCTCTCCGCCATGAGGATTCCAACCAATCAGGTGGGTGGAATTTAAAGCCACACTTGGAAACATAAAAAGCGAAAATACACAATTTGTACCCAGCTCTTTGTGTTGTTAGTTTGTTTGTTTTGCAAGTGGGGATGCAATATTATTGTTTTTTATCTCTTTCAATGTTTTTCTTTAATTTAAATATATTTTATTCTTTAAATGTTTTTTAATGTATTTTTTGGGGGGGAGAGATTCCTTTTTTTAATATTGAATATTCAAAGCCCCGCACACTCAATACAAATACAATTATTTATTAAAAAAAGGACATTTAAAAAGCTTCTCGTCAGTGCGTGGTTGGCTGGTTTTACTTCCAGTCATAGTCCTTTGAGATTTCTGTATGTATATTCTTTACATTTTATTTGTATATACTGCAGCATCTTTTTGTCTCAAAAATGTTATGGTTTAGTATGGGATAAAGAAAAGTGCATGTCAAACAAATGTCCTAAAAGGCATAGTAAAGTAGGCACTAAAAGGTTTATATAATGAACTTATTGCAGGTCGCCGTGGTGACGATGCTGCGCTGCCGTAGCTCGGGGAGATGTGTGTGCGTGGCGGTGACCCACCTGAAGGCTCGCTCCGGCTGGGAGTGGCTCCGCAGCGCGCAGGGCTCCGACCTGCTGAGACAGCTCCAGACTCTGGTCCAGAAACACGCCCACGACTCTGCAGGCGCCCAGACTCTGGACATTCCTCTGCTCATATGTGGAGATTTCAACGCCATCCCGACTGAGGAGGTGTACCGACGTTTTGCCGCATCGCCTCTTGGTTTGGACTCCGCCTACAAGAGGCTCAGTGAGGACGGTTCCACTGAGCCGGAGTACACAACGTGGAAGATCCGTCCTACGGGTGAGTGCTGCGCAACCCTGGACTACATCTGGTACAGTCGGGACACACTGAGGGTGGACGCAGTTTTGGACATGCCCACAGAGGAACAGATTGGGCCCAACAGGCTTCCGTCCTTTAGCTATCCGTCCGACCATCTCTCTCTGGTTTGTGACTTCAGCTTTAAGGAGAAGGAGTGAGGTGAAGCAGAAGATGAAGGGACGACACTGAGAAGAGAAACTGTGGCTCCTGGTTGGCTTCTCTCCACAAGAAAGCTTCAGGATGTGACGCCACGTGGGAGCGATGATGGAGACAGGACACGGAGAACTAGAGGGGAGGTTGGGAATTGCAACTGGAATTGAAAAGTCTGATCACTTTACACACAGAAGTTGCGGAGATACACACTGCAAAAAAATGCAGATGCAAATCTACCTCTTCAAAGTGTAACACTATGCGATATCTGCACCAGGTTACTGATCTGGACCTTCATCAGTACTGAAACACACATTTAAAAATGTACCAGTATTGACGATAGCGGTGATATTTAAATAGTATTGGATGGTGATTGTTCTTGCATTTATATTGTGCCTTTTATAGTCCTCCTACCACTCAATGCGCTTTAACACTACCCATTCACACACTCTTTCAGACGCTAATGGCAGATCTAGCCACACACCGATGGCTATATCTTGGGGGGATTTGGGGCCCAAGGACACTTCCACATGTGGATTTAAAGAGCCGGGTATTGAAACTGTCACACACAGAGGACTGTAACTTCATTACCAAAAAAGAGAAAATACAATAAAATGTAAAGAGGAATTTGCTTGTTTTATTTTTATAATATATAAGATATTTTGCCCACGATAATTGTGTAGTGAAAATCTCATATCGTGTCATTCCTAACACAACACTAAAAACTAGTAAATGTTGTGTTTCACACTGCCATTGTACTACAGAGTGAGAATAAAGTTTTCTTGCTGTGTGGTTTATATTGAGGATGATGTTTCTTTGCAGAATAGTGTCATGTTGATTACTCGTCTCCCCAATCTGCCTCTGTCTGGTTGGCTTGCCTATCACGTGGTAGGTTGGTAATGAAAGGGATGTTCACCCCAATCATTCAGTGATTTTTAAAGGTCCCATGTCATGGCCATTTCTACTGATCATAATTCCATTGTTGAGGTCTACTAGAATAGATTTATATTGTGCAATTTTCCAAACTCACATTGGTTTCTCATACAGCATCTCTGTATAGTATGTGTATTCACCAGGTATTCACTCTCTGTCCTAAACGGCTTGTTGGAATTCCTGCCCCCCCCCTCCCTATAAGCCCAGTGTGCTCTGATTGGTCGGGACGTTGCGAGGCTCGCTGCTGCGAGGAGCGGACAGGCTTCCGGGTCGGCGATACAGTGAGAACAAGCGAAACTCATCCTGAGCACACACAAACACTCACAGCCGAAGTAAAAACAATAAGTGTGGCTTGATATTGAGTAAGAAAAAGGTTTATAGCGCTGTGAGAATGGGTCTGCGGAGAGCATTTCTCCGCCATCCCAACTCGTCTATTACCAGCGTTCAGGGAGCTCTATGCAAGTCAATGGGGACTCCCTGTTAGTTAGCCAAGGGATCCTGGTGTGTGAGGTGCTCCGCGGATTGGTCCATTTGGGCCAATCCGGTCATTTGTTGTTGATTTGGGTGTTCACACGTCAAGCAAACAATGGAAAATGAGAAATCTCCAACGAGGCGTTTTGGGTTAGCATAGACAGGTCTTTTCTGTGTTAGAGTTTTACTCGCTACAGGGTGTACTTTGAGGGGTTTTGACTCTGCAGACCGTTCACATGCATACAAACCTTCATAACACACAAGGGGACGGGTAATAACCAGAAAAGCATGACATGGGACCTTTAAAGCAGATAGTTCAGGTTTTAGTTCTAATAATTTTTAACTCGTATAGTATGAAGGAAATATGAACGAAAAAACGTAGTATAGTATGTAGAAAACTTCCAAAAACGACATATAGTATGTCGAAAATATGCAAAGAACAACATAGTATAGTATGTCAAAAATATGTTAAAACGTAGTATAGTATGTCAACATTTTCTGAAAAAAAAACATTGTGTTTAGAAAATATCAGAAAAAACGACATAGTATATGGCATGTCGATAAATATTTGTTTAAAACTACATATTGTATGTCAAAAAGGACACAGTATAACATTTAAAACATATCAGATAAGACGACACAGTATAGAATTGTTTCAGAAATGTCACTTCCACACTGTTCTTTTCCTTTAATCAGTTTAGATATTATACTGTACAGGTGTGGTATAAGGTTTATATAAAGTTAAGTTAAGAATATGGACCAACTTATGTTACTTTTTTAAATGGAATGATTGGATCACATAATTACTGTACTATTAAATACATTTTAAAGAGGCCCAATTGTGCTTTTTGGGTTTCCCTTTCCTGAAGTGTGTAATATAGGTTTACCGTGTAAATGGTCTGCAAAGGCTGAAATCCCAAAGTTCCCTCCAGAGGGAGTTTCTCTCCCACACACTCCCCCCACCTGCCTGAAACGCCATGATGATCCTTTGTTTACTTCCATAACAAAACGACACCACAATGTAACACTAGCACGTGATAGGCTAAGGGGCGGGACATCTCTAGCAGTTGACCAATAACATCAGAGCCGGCAAGCTAACCAATCAGAGCAGACTGGGCAGCACAGGCAGTATGAGTGAAAATAAAGAGCTTTTTGAACATTAAAGCATGACAACATGTCACAGTAGAAGCACATAATACAAACATGAACCTGAACATTCACAGAATAGGGCCCCTTTAAAGGTAAAAAGGTTTTAGAATTAAATGGCCTTCCAAAAGTCCTGACTTTAACTTTTGAACTATGCTGACGAATGTCAATTTCATGAAGCGGACAAATTCAGTTGAACTGCACTAATTCTGTCAAGAGGATTTGTCAAATATTTAACCAGAACCATGTGTATGGCGGAAATGCAATCAAAACATTAACATTGAGTAATGTATATGATGGACATGTTTAGAACAGCCATATAATATTCCTAGAAGAAAAACAATTCATAAATGTTTTTTGTGTCAAAGTTACAGCAACAAGAGTTAAGGAATTATTTGTAAACTGATTTAAAAACGGTTTTGTTTTTTCTAACAGTTGCATTTCAACTTTTGACTTTTGAACTGTGTGCTCAACTTAAAATAACGCAGATTAATACTTTTAATCCCGCAAATTGAAAGGCCTTTTCAATCAATTTCCAATACCAAGTTTGTTCGGGAGAGAAACTCCCTCTGGAGGGAACTTGGGAATGTTAGCCTTTGCAGACCATTTACATGCACACAAACATATATCACACACTACACGCAGGGCTCTCAAACTCAAGACCCGGGGGCCAAATCCGGCCCGCGACTTCATTTTATGTGGCCCGCAAGAGCTTGCAAAGAATATAATATGTTTATTATATGGTTACATGCATCTCGTTTTGTGACATGCGCACTGAAGAGACTTGCAATTATTTGCCCTGGACTTCTGCTTTCAGACGTAGTTAATTACTAAGTTATTATCCTATGCGATAATAATCCAATTCAGAGGCAATAATGTAATATATATTATATATAATTATATATATATATAGTATATAATATAATATATATATATATATATATAATATGATATATAATATATATATAATCATATATAAATATATATATATATATATCTATATTATATCTATCATCTCTATATACATATAATCACTATCAATATATCGATATAGCCTAATAATATAAATCATATCTATACTATTATATATCTATCTCTATCTATAGCTATCTACACTCTATACAATATATCTACTCTCTATCTATCTAATCTATACACTATATAACATCTAATATAGATATCAGTTACAAAAACAACCGGCCCTTTGAGTGCAACCTTTATGCGAATGTGGCCCACGATGAAATCGAGTTTGACACCCCTGCACTAAAGGAAAGGGAAACCCCTAAAAGGATAATAGGGCCTCTTTAAACTATTGTTGATATTTACAGGGATGGATGACATGACCCTGTGTAGATCAAAAGCACACACACACAATGAAAAAAATAAATCAATAACACCACAATGGAAACAACTGGAGTTAGGTTTCAAATGTCTTTTTATATGTCAGTAAAATCTACTTTAATACACTTTGAAACAAGAGTACAACAAAATAGAATATACTTCAAATGTTGAATATACAAACAGTTCAGTCTGAACAAACAGCTTTCTCTCTGTACATACAAATAAAAATGAAATGTAGGGGCGGGGCCAAAAAGGGCAGTAAAAAAAGTGTGCTGGCAAATTGACCCTCTGTTTTAAGTAAAGTGACCTGGATGCACAGTGGTTTCCTATTTATAGATGTTACAGTCATTTTGCATATCATTTTGATTTCCAATGTCTGTCTTTAATCATTATTTTAATTCCTTCTTGATACTTTTTGGGTGACCTTTTTAAAGACATGGCATCATGCATCAGCACTGAGTCGCATTTCCGTGCAGCCAGATAGTAAGGTTTGTAAAAAGAGGAAAACATTTGTCAACATTTTTTTAGAAATATCCGAGATGCTTTTGTCGAATAAATGTGAAAATCAAGTCTAGAGATTTCCCTAGACGCTGGAGGACACACTGTTTCAACCAATATGAGCGTGTAACAGCCTGATAGTGACAGAACTCATATTAATAATACAAATACTAGTTCTTCTTAGTTTGAATAATACTGTGCTTGGTACAAGGTATCAAAACACACAAAAAAAACAGCTCATTGTTCAGACGTTAAATGAAAAAGAAAACATTGAAATCTAAGGCGGTTCTGTTAACTTTAGCTCCGTAAACTGAATATAGTAGATATATATTTAAATATGTACATACATGACCACTTTCTGTCTGATATTGTTCCTTCTTAGAGCTCATCGCAGCTCTGCCTTCTGTCTCGCTGTTAGCAATAGTAGCACCACCCACACTTCTGCACAGTGATAGAAGTATTTAACAAAAAGAAAAAGGAAGGTTGCTGGTTGTTTAACATCAGTAGAGGCAGAAGTATAAACACATGGTCTCCACAAAAGTTGTATTACACCCCTCACTGCGTTTTACTGTGATTTCAAAGTTCATATTCTGGTAAGCGGAAATTATTTGCCTCCATATGTAGTGTTTCTACTTATTTTCAAGGTTCCCAATTGCAGTCAGTGACGGCGATCCGTTTGGAAAAGGCATACGTTGTAGTGATCGAGGTTGGTCCCGTTTACCTTTTATCCAACAAGTCCCTTTTAAAGTCTGTGTGCGTTCCTATGATGCAGAGACACTTGGAGAGGTGTCGGGGGGGTTGCAATCGGTAAAGTTTGGGGGGGGGGGTGAAGTCGAGTTTTGGGACTAAAAAAAACTGGCCCTTAAGAGTCTTTAAAGTCTCTCAGACGGCTGCTGGTTATTAAAAGAGTAAAAACAACGTCAAAGTAACTCTGAAATGTTTCAGCACTCGATCTCTTCAGTCTTTATCGTCACGTCGGGGGTGTCCAGTTGGACGAGCATCTCCACGCCGTCCGACTTGGCGTGGTTCTGCTGGACAGCGAGCGTTTGGATGTGGACTCCAGCAGCCTTCAGCTTCTCCATGGTGACGCCCCCGCTCCCCGGCGCTCCGATCACCAGCTCCGACCCGTTAAAGATGCCGCTTATGATCCGAGGCTGCGTCGTCATCGCGTGATTGGACGTCGATAATGTCACCACCCCCCCCCGCGCTGCCCGCCTGCGACACCACCAGAGTCTGTTGCTGCCCCTGCGTCGGCACGGTGAGCCTCATCACCTGCGTCCCCGGGCCCACGCTGACCGGCCCGAGGGCCCGCACCGTGAGGGGGCTCCCGAGGAGGCTGAGGCCCCCCGGGGGGCCCCCCATGCCGGGCTTGTGGGAGGTCTGGAGGTGGCACTGAGCTAGCTGGTGGGCGGGGA